CAAGGGAATCATGCAGCAAATTCGAAAACATGCGAAACCTATCAGGCTATTCAACAAAAATCGAACACTACTCATTAATAAGTCACACTAATATTCGAATCCTTCAAATAAATCTCAATCGGAGTTCACAAGCTATAGAGAATGTTCTACAGCTTGCAATAGAACTTAATATCAACCTCATTATAATTCAAGAACCTTGGATTATTAAAAACAAAATCGATTACTCAAATTCAAAATCTATTATACACTCCAATTTCACACAAACATTACCAAGACTCAATCCTAATTACCGGCCACGTACACTACTATACACATCAAAAACTCTTCAAGCTACAATCAATCTAGCTTCCGATTCTCCAATAGATTCTGATATACAGATTTTCAATTGTCAAAATGGAAACAAAACCTTTCAAATCATCAATATATACAACGAAGCTGATCAAGCTAAAGAGAAAGGTTTCACAATCGAAAGGTGCTTGTATAATATATCTATTACACAAGAAACCATCCTTTTGGGCGATTTCAATGCCCATTACCCATAGTGGGATCCTTTTTCGAAGAAAAGCGGAAACGCTGATCAATTAGCTGAATGGTTTGAAGATCAGAATCTCATTCTTTTAAACGAACCCGGAATCAGCACTTTCTATCGAACTAATCTCCTTAATCCAAGTGTTCTTGATCTAATACTAGCATCAGAGGGAATCTCTCCTCAAATTCACAATTAACAAACGCTTTCAGATACAGAATCTGATCATGCAGGAATACTATTCGAATTAAAAGGAAAAGAAGATCTAAGTATTTCTAATACTGAATCGATAGCTAGATACAATACTAAACTAGCGAATTGGGAAAAGTTCGAATCAATATTTAAATCGGAATCCTTATATTCCCTTATTCTATCTAATTTAGAATTAATCATTTCAACCAAAAGGATTCCTTAAATTTTTTGAAAAACAAAGACAATCATTATCTAACTCTAGATCAAGCAGCAAGCGAACTTATTAGGATTATTCAAAAAGCAATAGAAAGGTGTATACCTAAAATTGTTTCAATCAAAAGGGCCAAACTATAGTGGACACCTGAATTGAAAGATCTCCGAAAAGAGTTAAAAGAAGCAAAGCAAAGAATTGAATCAGATCTGGAGAATCATAGCTCTAAGGAAGGATATCGAATCGCTAGAAACAAGTACTTTCAAGCTATTAAAACAGCAAAAAAGGATCATTAGAATAAGTTTCTAGAAAAGGAGGACACAAAGACAATTTTCAAAGCAATGGCCTATACTAAAGACTTTCAAGATCAAAGGATATTGGATATTGTAATAGAAAGCTTTTTCAAAGGAAAATGCTCTGCTTTCAAATCAATTCTATTCCCACCCCCTCCTATTACCCCAAAACCACAATGGGAAGGGTATAAACAATCCAAGAAATGGGAATGGCCTAATCTCACTCAAATCGAATTAAGCAATGCCTGTTCAGCCAAAATCCAAGGAAAAACCTTTAGCCCAGATGGAATCACTCAAGAGATTATTATAAAGGCTTACAAAGTAATCCCATATATCTTTTTTATTTTCTTTAGTAAACTTATTAATCTAGAATATTACCCGAAATGTTGAAAACAAGCCACAGAAGCTATTCTGAAGAAAGCTTCCAAACTAAATTATTCCCTTCCAAAAGTATATAGAGTAATTGCATTCTTAAATTGTCTGGGTAAAATAAGCGAAAGGATTCTAGCTCAACGATTAGGATATTTAGTGGAAACAATCCATTTCCTTTACAAGAGTCAAATGGAAGAACGCCAAAAGAAATCAGCAATCGATGCTGTACTTTTACTAACTACAGAAATCGAAAGAAACAAGCAAGCCAATAAAAAGACCTCAATATTATTTATGGATATAAAGGGAGCATTCGATCACGTTTCGAGAAATCGACTATTAGATATTTGTAAGAAGCTAAAACTGCTCACAAATCTGATAGCCTGGATAGCCTCATTTCTTCAACAAAGATAATTGAAACTATCTTTTAATAATCAAATCGAATCTTTCAAGCCAATTTCGATTGGAATACTATAAGGCAGTCCGATTTCTCCAATTCTCTTCCTTATATATATCAGGGAGCTCTTTTTATCCAATTCGATCAAGTTTTTTTTCTATATAGATGATATTGCTTTAATCATATATTTATTTACATAGAAAAAGAATATCAAAACCTTAGAAAGAATTACAAAACAAATCTATGAACTCAGTTCTAGAAATGCAATCCAATTCGATTTGGCAAAAACAAAGCTAATACACTTTTCATTATCCAAATTGATAAAAAAATATCCAATCACGCTACCCAATTCGGAAATAATTGTATTCTAATCTCTCATTAGATAACTGGGAATATGGTTCGACCCGAACCTCAAATTCGATCAATATGTTAATATTCGAATCATATAAGCGAAAGGTGTTTTCCATCGAATGGCTCGATTAGTTAATACCGAAAAGGGCCTTAATCCTAAAGCCCTTAGACAATTATATATAGCATGCGTAACCAGTATAGCTGATTACGGATCAGTGATTTGGTGGAGAGGTCAAACTCATTTCAAGAATATGATGCAATCGCTTCAAAACCTAGCTCTTCGAAAGATATTAGGAGTCTTCAAAACAGCCCCAATCCTTCCAATGGAAGTAGAAGCAAGCCTAAAGCCCCCAAAAATTCGATTAGATTCAAATGTTAGGCAATACGCGTTTCGTCTAGCTAAACTCTCGCCAAACCATCCAATCAATATCGAAAAGAAATATCAGCTCAATATCAAACCGATTTGGAAGTAATCCCTACTCCTCAAAGAAAACGATATAAATCAATCCAAATTGATAGAATTAGAGGATCAATAAATCAGAATCTCAATCCTATTTCATTTGAAAAGATTATTCACTTCAACTTTCCCCCATGGAAAAAGGAAATTCCCTTCAGAGTTAATATTAGCAATTCATCAAAAGAAGATACTGCTATTCTTCACAATATCGTTTTCAATTACAGAGATAAGGATACTACCTACATTTATACTGATGCCTCTTCTACTGAAAAAGGAATAGGTATAGGTGTAGGTATAATCGCAATACAACCAAACAATCGAATTTCATATCAACAATAATTGAATATTAATAGCAATCAACTAGTATATAATAGAGAGCTTTACAGGGTTACTAGAGCTATTGAATATGCTAGCACAATTGCCTGTATTGGCAACAAATTCAAGATATATTCGGACAACCAAGCTGGTCTATATCGCTTAAAAACACCATCAGATCACTCTGGACAGGCCTATCAGATTCGAGCAATCAAAGCAGCGGAAATCATCAAAGCAAAAGGAGCTGAAGTATCTCTAAATTGGGTTCTAGGATATACTTTAGTAGAAGGAAATGAGCTAGCAGATAAACTAGCAAAGGAAGCAACCACAATACGTTCTATCTCAAACGAAACAAGTTTTGGATTTCTAGGTATGATGATCAAAGAGTACGATTCAGATCAATGGCTTTTTATTTTCAATCAATACAAACTCAGATCAAATCAATCCCCTTTAATCTATTCAAAGCTATTTCTATGGAAGATAGGATCGAAAATCAAGCTACCAAGTGAAACCAAGCGAAACACTGCTAGCGTATATTTTCAATTCAAATTAGGTTATGGATATATCAAATCTTATTTATATCGATTCAAACTCTCTGATAACAAATGTATATGTGGTAATATTGAGGCTTCACAACACTTCCTTATTAGTTGTCCTATATACAAAGCAGAGAGAAAAGAAATATTCAAGAATATACCACTATCTAAGATCACTATACAGTTCCTATTCCATACAAAAGTAGGTATTGAATTAGCCATTAAATTCATCAATATCACCAAAATCGCCACAAGAGCATGGCACCTGGCCAGGGCTCTCATACAAGACGAGATAGAGGAAGGAATAGTAGTAGAAGAGGAGAGAGGAGAAGAGAATGAAGAAGAAGTAATTAGGGAAATAAGAGAGGGCTTTGATTTCCTTACAATTTCTTGATTTTCACAATTTTCTTATTATATGCAATGCGTATAATGAGCGGGCACTGTTCCCCAGTATTTGTTTTCACTTCCCTAAATCGTATATATCCATTTTTGTAGAATAAAAAGTTATCCGCTAGAGCCTCTAGAGGCCTAGCCGTCCTATATAGTCTTAGACTGAAGGTGGACGTAAATGAAATCAATCAATCAATCTACAGACATTCAGCACAATGAAATTGCTTTTTTTCTTTCGTATTTTGTACACCTAGTTAGTTCTGCATCAATACAAACTGGTTATTTTTTCGAATTATCATAGAACTTCATGTGATTGACATAACCAAGCCAAGCCGTATATGAGTATAGATTTCATAGATTGAGATCACTTCCTCGGATCCTCCAATGTAAACACTATTCATTTGTGTCTATCGCATGTGAGAATCTTTAATCAATCCAAACACTTTGTGCCAACAAATAGCCCTCAGTCCTTCAGGAATATGTGCTAGCAATCAAGTTTATGACACTCACGAACTCTGAATAATTATCTAAACACAACAATCCACAAAAGAACAATGCAAAGAGATTAAAAAAGACCAAAGAATATATGTAGTTCACATGCCTATTGTACTTATCAAGTTATTACAGTTGCTGAATTTGTGAAGTTCCTGCTTGATGGTACAGCCAATTCACTGCATTTTCATAAGAGCCTGAGTGCTATTCGATGCCGGGGATGTATTATTTTTTCCAATTTGAGATAGAATGGCTACCCATTCAGGTGGCTAACTTTGGTAGGTTTCTATTTAATGTAAATTTAGCTAATACAGGAAGTTGCAGATCGTTCAATAACTTGAGCCAAACAAATCATGAATTTTGTACAATTGGTGTGTGTTTTATCTTCAAAATTGAAAGTAGCAAAACACGACAACCCTAACTAACTACAGCTATAGAGCTAGAGTATCTAACAGGTTCTCTGCCGCATATTCATCTTTCAAGCATAGCCGATCCGAGCCGCTCCTCCCCATCCTGCTCGACTGCCATAGTAGCATCATCAAAAATCCCCTGCTTATTATCTCGATCTTTTCCCAGTGCAATGGTTCTGCCGTGCCGTCTGATGCTACAACGGGTAGCACACTAACTGTGGGGTGAAATTGGTTCCTGTCCGCGATGGTGTCGCATCCAAAACTAACGACATGATTTGATGCAAGCACCAAATCTCAACCCGACGAGCTAGTAGGTACGCTAAGACTTCTTGGATGTTGCATCGTGGGTATCGGTTTTAAAGGCCTGTAGATATAAGTAAACGTCTCCCATCGAATTTTGTAGATCATGATTAAAAATTGCTGTCCCTCAAAGCTAAATGCAAGCTTTAGCATTGCCTTTCAATTGCTAGAGATTTCTGCTTTGGTAGAGGAAGAGTTGAAGTCAAAGCCGATGCCTTACTGGCAAGGAATGGAACTCATCGCGGTATGTCCAGATTTGATATCGTAACAAAGCAAGTATAGAACTGACTGATGAATCAAGGTACACATTGAGAGAGAACGAAACATTGATCATTCGATTTCCACGCACAAAGGAAAGATCGAAACTCCGAAACTGTTCCGTGGAAACAATACGATATCGTATCATTGTATCCATGGGCAGTTAAGATAGCCAAAATAGATGAAAAAGATGAATATCAATTTGGAATATGCAATACTTCACAAAAAGGATGTAGTTACAATGAAAAACTCTTCGGATATGGTATCCACTTGCACAACACAAGGCCGAGGTGGTGGCATTTCTCTGTGCATGTCCGCCCACATTGGGTGGGATCACATACACGAATTAACGTGTCCGGAATCTGATTTGAATATATGATATGAATTCATGAATTGAGATCTAGATTGAGTTTCGGTGTCTTCCAAAAATACACGCTACATGCGGTGAGGGATTTGGATAGATCCGATGTAGGATTACGGCGCCTGACGACGACGTGTGTCTCAGCTGCTATCGATTTGCTCTTTAACGCCACGAGATAGGTCGTCCATACTTGCCTTTTCGGATAGCAAATCTATAATTGACTTTCACATGCTGGTAGAGACATGAGATATTTGACGGTTTTCAGCTGAGCATAATCATGATATCTGGCAGATTGGAGGGTTCAATTTGGTCACCGAACGATCCTTGATCACAATTGTGGGGGTTTCGGAACCTAACCGGTTTTTCTGAGTCCGCAAGAACAAATTTTCATCCACCGGGCTGACGGCATCGAAGATCACAGATCAAAGTTTGTAATAAGCGTGAAAATCCTCTCATCGATGACATGGAGCTTTGACCGCCTCGATGAAAAATTGGTTCGGAAGTATGGGCCAGACCCGCGTTGGCAGAGATTTTAACACTTTAATAAAGACCCTTGACTAATTTGACAGCCAACAGATCAACTTCGGAGATCCTTCCTCAAGCGTTCATACGAATGTGGTCTGCATCGCCGTTACGATCGACTTGCAGATCCGGAAGCCATTGTTTATGCTTGTTCAGTGGGGCATCGCTTAGCCTGATATGGGTGCGTTCCGACCCTGCATAAATATCGATGACCTACAGGTACAGGGCATCAATGGCTGAAGATATTGAAAACTGCTTTCTGTTTGGTGGAATAATACGGAATAACTGGGATAACAAGACGATCTAGCCTGTTTGAAAGATATCGACATCATGTAAGAAAATATTGAGAATGATTATCGGGACCACTGTCTGCTCAATCATCAACTGAACTGTGCCTCTTTTTTCTTTGCATGGGACAATCATAATCCGATCGTGGTCTAGAGGAGTCGGTTCTGGCTATTGGAAAGCCGTTATCAGTAGAATCTTCATGGCTGATACAGTGGGTACCCGAGACGAGAGAACGTTTTGGCGCCAAAGATGATATTGAGGCCCAGTCAATATTGATTGATTGATTCGAATGTCTCAAATCGTGTCGTATGTTGTATAGTGGCTTGAGAGGAGAAACCCAATCTTGGCGATGATGTATCATTGTTTCCACGATCGTGATACATGGGTTGTTTGCGGTCAGCGATGCATAGGGAAAGCTTGGTCGAGAAAAGCTTTTCAGAGATCCATCGATCTTCCTACGAAAAGAAAGTATATAAGAAGGCTTCATCAGCAAAGTATTTCCCATCATCACAACACTTCAATCATCTCAAAGATCTTCTACAACAACTTACAAACCCTTCTCAAACTTGTCACTCTTCGAGTCTCTCAATCCAACCATCAAAATGCGTTTCTCCATGATTGCTTCTATCCCTCTCCTCGTCCTCTCCACCCTTACCTCGGCGGCTCCAGCTGCAATTCCAGCAGCAGCCATCGATGCTCGCGCCGCCTCTACCCAAATCTACTACCTCGTTAACTGCTTCAACAACATCACCTTCGCAGCCTACGCTGAGATGGACTACTATCCAACCAAGTCTTTGTCTCTCGCTGGCCAGACCCCAAGCAAGACAGCCATCCTCAGCAAAACTGACTCCATTGACTACGAAGATGGAACTTGGAAGGCCACTACTCCATTCAAGGCGACTGTTGTCATTGACGAGGATGCTTATACCGCCAAGTCAGGTTCTACCGTTGGTAGCGCCACTGTCAGCACCTCTACCACTGCCTTGACCTGTGTCCGTCTTACAAGATTCGTCTTGTATGAGCCAAAGGTTGATGAGCAATGCTACACCGACTATGCTTGCCAGGTAAGCCTTATAAATTTCCCTCGGTAACAGTCAATCATGAATTAAGCTAACCCCAATGAATTAGGCATAGAGAGCCCCTCGATATCTTGAGTTCTTCGATCAGCGCCTGCGCTGAACGGAGGATGATAATTGATTAACGAGCTCAGGCTTGATTTAGACAATAGACGACTTGAAAATGACGACTAGTAATAGATAAATGACGAATGACGGAAAAAAGATGGATGAATGATGATTTGAGAGATTGACGAGTTAATGATTACGATTGGGCACATTCTTTTGGACTTGGGCAAAGGGATATAAATTAGAGATAAAATTGAATAAAGATATTTTTCATTATGCTTTGACCCCTTCTGAGTTCAGATGAATTTTTTTTTGAAGACTGTGCAGAAACATATCTAGGGCCGAGAGCGATAACCTCTTCTCATAGGTAAGCAGGTATTTGGAAAATAGAAAACCTGTCACTTGCAAGGTCATATGTACGTATATGGAATCTAGACCTCAAGAAATGCCTGACTCGAATTTCTTCTCTCCTTTGTTGAAGTTGGGACGAATATCTCAAGAGAAATAGTGACTGCGCATAAACACTATTAATAAGTTTAGCTGGAAAGAGAAAGGCTTCCCCACCAATTTAAAGCTCCAGTCAGTACCCCTTAAATTTTAATCCATTTGCCTCCATAGATTCATGTTTCAGAAAGATTCGACGAATGAAATTCATGAGACGTTCCGTTCGGAACTTCTCATCTGGTTCCACGGACTCTTTCCAAGAAGACGGGACGACGCCTAACAACGCCATGTCCTCCTTCGCCACAAAACTTGGCGATAATTCTAGGAATCAATTCATAGATGCATGTAAACATCTCTAAAAAGTCGTAGTCAAAGAACAGGCGGCGTCATATGTAATATCTTCTTGTAGCTTGGTAATGATATGTCGACCCGTGGTATGGTAATTTTATATATATCTTCCTTCTCGTCATTGTCTTTCATTTTTCCTTCCTCTTCACCCCTAATCCGGCATATCAGACCGTTGACATTCTTTTTTTGAACTGACATTCTTTTTTCTTCGTCCATTTCCATAATATATTCAATCATTCATTATCTGCTTCAATTCTTTTAGTGTATACATTTTTCAACAGACTATTTTGTAATTTATTAACGACCAAGATGAAATCATTCTTTTTAACTCTGGCCACGGGCTTCATGCTCAGTGGTATGGGCCTTGCGTTTCCAGTGGAGGGAACTGACTCCCAAGATCCTGGCTTTCTTGCTTTCCTTTCTAAGCGAGCCATAATAAGTACAGACAACACTTGCGGAAATTCGTTCGCAGGAGCAAACAATAGCTATTCATGTGACGCTACTGTAAACACGGGAGGATGCTGTTCGGCCTATGGATATTGTGGTAACACAACTGGTATGTTGGCGAATCTCTGAATAACTTGCACATAATTCATAGACTAATTTGTACTTACCTAGACTACTGCGGAGCTGGTTGCCAAACTGCCTTTGGAACTTGTACCGGAACAACAGTCCAACCTTCAGAAAACACTTTCACATGCGGAGCGAGCAATGGTGGGCTTTCTTGTACTGGAGGACTTTGCTGTTCTACATCGGGATATTGTGGAAACACAACAGATTATTGTGACGTAGGATGTCAGTCTGCATTTGGAACTTGTACCACTGCTGCTGCCGAGCCAACCACAGGAGGAACTTGTGGTCCAAACTTTGGTGGTGCAACTTGTGGAGGAAACCAATGCTGTAGTGGTGAGTAGACGAGTCCCGATTTGTCAATTTGCTTACTAACATGCTACAAGTTTCCGGATACTGCGGAACCACCCAAGACTATTGTGCTGATCCAGGAAGCTGCTTACTTGGATATGGAAGATGCGACTCAGATGCAACGCCTGCCGGAGCATCAACTCTTAATGTTGCAAGACCATTGACAGGACCTATCACCTACACGGATGACATCTATGACTGCGTGCAAAATAATGTCGTAGCTCTTACTTACGACGATGGTCCATACAATTATACATCCGATCTCCTCGACATTCTAAAGTCGTATGGTTATCAAGCGACATTTTTCATCACCGGAAACAACAACGGAAAAGGAGAAATCGATACTACCGCTCCCTATCCATCTTTGATTCAACGTATGATTGCTGAAGGACATCAAGTTGCATCTCATACCTGGAGTCATTACTCTCTTTCAAATATATCACACGACCTTCGAATGCAACAGATGGTGAAGAATGAGATGGCCTTCAATAACATCATCGGAAAATGGCCAACTTACATGAGACCTCCTTATTCTGATTGTACTGAGGCATCAGGATGCTGGGCAGATATGCAAACTCTAGGGTACCACAGGGTCTATTTCGATTTGGACACCCAGGATTATTTAAACCCCTTGCCATCGCAAATTCAGAACTCCAAGAACATTGTACAGAAAGCACTTGCTGCAACAGCTGTTCAAGACTACCTGTCTATCCAGCACGATATTGTACAGCAATCTGTTGGCAACCTTTCCACCTACTATTTCGATCAAATCAAGGCCAGAGGATGGAAGGGCGTTACGGTTGGTGATTGTTTGGGTGACACCGATAGAACAAATTGGTATCGCTCTCTCACCTCCGGTTCAACCGCGTCATCTTCTGTTGCAGTCTCATCCCAAAGCGCTTCTACAAGCGCAAAGACTAGTGGTACATCAGGAACTAGCGCTACAACTGCCAAAAGTTCTACTGTATCCGCGACTATAACAACTTTAAAACCCACAAGCTCTGTAAAGAGTTCAACGACGGTCAAGCAATCGACTTCGACGACTTTACCGACGCCAACCGTAGTCCCAACCCCGGCGGCAACATGCGCTGTGACAGTTGGAAAATGGTGTGGTAAGGTTACCCCTTTCAACACCATGTTGACATGCCAAAAATCAGCCGCTGCCTGTTATGCAGACACCTTAAAATGTGCTACAACTGCTGGCTGGAAGAATCTTTCAAAATGCGCTGCTTTCACCAAAATTTGTGAGAAGCTGCCACTTTATTGTCTGACATGTGTCAAAGCCGGTTGTTCGAATACGGCTTTTGGTTATTAATAGAGCGCAAGTTGTGAGACTCAATGGGATGACGGGCGTAATAAAATAGTGGAGTAGGATGGTGTTCGCGAATTTGGACATATCTGTCATGGTTCCTTGAGGCGTTTGAGTATCAGATTATCTGAAATGTCGTAGCGTTGGGATGGCAGTCAAGAAATTGTTTCTAATATACTCTTAATTCATGCATTCGGTTTTGAACACAATTGCTACAAGAGAAGTGCGGCCTTCCACATACGTATGATCTACAGAAGCGTAAAAAGCGACACATTCATTCAAATAAATAGATAAATAAAACCAGACAAGGGAAACATTGAAAGTCTGATTCTGAACAGTGACATCAATATGTATTCCTATTTTCAGTGCCAAATAAATCGCCAAGTTTTAAAGCTTCAGAATATTCTGATTGATTTGGGGGGTACGCACAGTGCTTCCAATAGCCCGAACTACATTCCACTCAAAGATTTTAGTCTTGAGATTCTGAGAATATGATTATTGATTTGATAGATTTATTGTTTCAAATTAACATGACTATGAACATTATTCTGATTCTTTGAATAAATTCAACATCCAAAAGGAATTGATGTTCCAATGCTTTGGATAGTTGGGCTGCAGTTCGGACCATTGAATACCTACTCTAGGCGTGCATTGTACACGTCGTTTTAGAGCCCTTGTATTTGGGTGCGCAGACATAAAGGGGAAACCCCCCTTGCGCCCCTCCGCCCTTCTCTTCTCAAGATCTGTAATTTTGTAATATCAATACTCCGTACAACATATATAACTAGGTACCTAGGTATATATTGCTATATCATCGTATGATTTAGTCTATTAAAAAACATGTAACCCTTAAAATATACGTAAATCCGCAAAAACTTCGGCACGATAATTTCCTCACAGGTTATCAAACATCCAATCCAAATAACGATTGGTTGGTTTGATCTTGAATATTGAAAACACTGTACATCTTTGGTGTCCAGGTAGGACCGTCCTGGCTGAAGTACGATTTCCATGTAAATGGAGGAGTGTCAAATGAATTATGAATATGGATCGTGAATTTCGGGTGATAATATGGGGAATAAGGACTAATCGACAATGCCATGAATTGTTGAATAGGTCCATTCGATAAATTTGTAAAGTTCGAGATTGATCATTTGCATGATAAACTCGTTGTATGGTAGGTAACATGATACACTGGTCAGGAACCCTAAGTTTCTTCAACCAGTGATATTCCGCTTTGATGCAGAGATTGTGGGCTGCTGATCAGAAACACGAATGAATTGATGTTTCATCATGCAAAAATAACCCTAACCTTGAGTAGTTTGGCTGTGTACTCAATTATAGCTGTGTACCTTTACTTAAAGGTTATCGATTCGTGCCATTGCAGAACCCTTTGTGACTTTTATATTCAGGTTTGTTTTCAACATGTTTTCCGCCTTAAAGAAATCATTGAGGATAGAGCCAAAGACCGAAGCGCCAAAAAACGATACCCCAGACAAAGAGACGCAAGAAGGGGATAGAATAGAGGATATCGTCGTAATCAAAGATCTAGACGCGACAAGAAAAGATGGAGAGAGTGGAAAAATCGAAGATGCTAGAGATGAAGATTTGTTTGTGGTGAAGAATCTGGATGCAAGATTGGAAGAGGAGGATACAAAGAGGGAACAGAATCTGGGAGCTGAAGAGGGGTTGGAGGATGACAAAAGGGAACCTTCAAGCATCGGAGAGAAATCCGTGAAGGAAGAAGATATTTTGGTAGTGAAAGATTTAGATGTCAAGGACGAAATCGAGAGTGTGGAAGAGAAAGATGCGAAAGTGGATGAAACTCACGTGGAAACGGACGTTACCGAGGACAACGTTGAAGAAGAATCAACGTCAGAATTAACGTTACCATCGATATCATCAAAGAACATTGAAATCCCATTGTCACCGTCACCGCCGTCGCCACCATCATCAGAAATTGGTGATTATGTTGAAGAAAGCAAGGGGAAACAAACGCCAACGCCGCTTGCCGCTTCGGCAATTTTTGACACCCCTGGCAACGATCGTTGCTTGGTGGGGTCACCGCCGGCAACTACCGCCAATCCTAATTTAGAAGTAAACAAATTTGAGGAAACCAGCACATCCACATCACCACGTCACTCACGTACAATTTCACCAACTCCTATTGAAAATCATAGTCACACGCAAAATCAAGAAAAAAGGTTTTCTTCTTCCACAACAGATTTTGAGATAAACGCACCGAATACCCCACCTGCGACACCACCTAGGGTTGTAAGGCGCGAAAGATCTGCGAGCCAAAGAGAACGCGAGACACTACGTTCGAGACAATTTTCCGAGGCAGCACGATTGCAGAGATCTGCAGAGAAACCCGAGAAGAGCGAGGAAGAGCTCGGGCTAGGAAGAAGAAGAAAGAGGTACCAGCATAGAAATAAATCTAAGGGATCAATTTCAGGCTCAGGGGAAGCGTTGAAAGCAGTTGAACCGCTGCATGAGCATCAGCTTGGAAAGATGGCTTTTGCTGAACAGCAACAATGGATTACGGTGCAACAGAAAACTTTCACAAAATGGTAAGCCGGCCTAGTGTATTTGCGAAGCATGAATGGGTTATTTACTAGAAATTAGGTTGAACACCAAGATAGCGCACAGGAAACTGGAAGTAATAGATTTGGTTAAAGATTTGAGCGATGGAGTAAGTTCTCTCTGCAAGGGTTTTCTTCTTAAATGCTAACATAGTAGGTCATTCTCATTCATCTCCTCGAATGTCTCTCCAACGAATCACTCGGACGATATGCGGCGAAGCCTAAACTACGAGTGCAGCGATTCGAGAACGCGAATTTGTCGCTAGACTTCATCAAATCCAGAGGAATTCAAATGACAAACATCGGAGCCGAAGATGTTGTGGACGGAAATCGCAAAATCATACTCGGCTTGATCTGGACGCTTATTCTCCGATTTACCATCTCTGACATCAACTTGGAAGGTATGACTGCAAAAGAAGGTTTATTGCTGTGGTGTCAAAGAAAAACAGCTTGCTACGAAGAGGTCGATGTTCGAAATTTTACAGACAGTTGGAACGATGGCTTAGCATTCTGTGCATTGCTCGATATCCATCGCCCAGATCTGATCGATTATGATACTTTAGACAAGGATGATCACAGAGGAAACATGCAATTGGCTTTTGACATCGCTACTAAGGAAATTGGTATTCCAGCACTTTTGGATGTTGAGGATGTCTGCGATGTGGCTAAACCGGATGAGAGGAGTTTGATGACCTACATAGCCTATTGGTTCCATGCCTTTTCGCAGATGGAGAAGGTCGAAAACGCTGGTCGAAGAGTAGAGAAGTTCGTCAATAACATGCAAGGAGCTTGGGAGATGCAGAGTGCTTACGAAAAGAGAATGAGAGCACTTTTGAAGAGTATTAAGGAGCAGGTTCTTACTTGGCAAGATGCGACTTTCGAAGGTACATATGCGGATGCAAAGAAACAGGCGACACACTTCAGTTCATACAAGAGAGGCCAGAAAAGAGAGTGGGTTGCAGAGAAAAGTGATCTTGCAGCACTATTAGGGAACATAAAGACGAAGCTCAGCACATACCGTCTTCGGGCTTATGACCCACCCCCAGAGTTGAGGTTGAGTGTTCTGGATGAAGAATGGGCGAAGTTGATGAAAGGGGAAATGGCGAGAGGTCAACTGATAAACGAGACCATCAGGGAGTAAGTTTAATGCATGTGCAAACTGAATTGTGCTAATGATTTTTAGTATCAAAAATGCCTTACGAAGATCTTTCGCCGACAAAGCCAACGACTTCGCAACTACTCTGAATACTATGCAATTGGCAATATCAGGATTGGAGGGTGATGTTGAGGATCAACTGGTTCATGTACGCCGATTACATGATAATCTTCCACCTCTCAATCAATTCTTGGATCAAATCGAGGCCATAGACAAGAAATGCGAGGAAGCAAATATTGAGGAGAATGATTTTACGACTTACACATACGATGAGCTTTGCTACGAGATGAGTCTTGTCAAAAATTCGGTTGCGAAGAAGTTGGCATTCTTGGACAACCAAGTAGTGGCTCGTAACATGACAAATTTGACGCCAATACAACTTGAAGAATTCGAAAGTGTTTTCCGACATTTTGATCGCGACGCTACCAACAGTTTACAAGAATTGGAATTCAGTGCAGCCTTGGCATCACTTGGTCTCGTCTTCTCCGAAGACGAAATGCACGACTATTTTCTCGACACATCAAATGGAAAGGACTACGTAACGTTTGAAGAATTCATCCGATTTATGGTGGATGTCACAGAAGATCAAAATACAGCGGAGCAAGTTTTCCAGTCCTTCCGCGAAGTTGCGGACGGCAAACCATATGTTACAGAAATGGATTTGAGACATAGTTTAGTACCCGATGAAGTCATTGAAAAATTGACTCAATTCATACCGATGCATAAAGGCCCTGATCTACAAGAGGATAGAGGTATGCCACAATATGATTACATCAGTTTTATGGACAAATTACTTGGAGGAAATGAGGAAGATGGAAATGAAGGGGCTTTAAGCGAATTAACCAATGGAAGAAGTCCAAAGAGAGCGAGCGGGAGTGGTGGAAAGGCAAATGGGGTTCATTGAGATGAGAAATTACTTCCTTGAGGGGGAAAGAAGCTTACAGGTACTCGATTAAATATACTTTGTCATAGCCAATGCATTCGTATGGTATATCCTTTTTGTATTCGGTAGTTGGTCGGCCTTGGATTTATGATCGGGAGGATGGAATCGAATTCTCATGGGAATGGCGAATCGAGGAATAAGCGATGGAGTTGAGAATTTAGTTAACCTTGTTTGCTCTGTTTGCAAACATAATTAGATAACCTTGAAGCATTTGATTGAATTTATGCTTGAAATTTTTTACATTATCGAATTTCGTTTGATCTCAGCCCCATTGAGTTTCTGGCTAGTCAACTTAGTCAAGAGACAATCCAATTTATACAATATGTTTGTGACTTTTTAAATAGTTTTCTAGTAATTGGGGGTGTATACAATTGCATCCAATTGCTGTTTTTCTCATTCATTTCATCTATCATTTGATTGCGTTTGCTGTTAATTAGCATTAGTTATTCGTTGTTACGGGCATCGATAAGAGATCGATATCGGGCCGACTATTAGTCCGGAAGCGAAGAGTTTTCATATATATATATAGCTTCGGAAGAAGAGGTTTTGAAGGAATTAATGAAAAGTCTTATTATCAAGTTTATACTAGTCGTCACCTTGCATTGATTCTAACATTCGTTCATTGACTTTGCTTTCTCTTTTGATTTACTCATTTGTCATATAGTAAATCGGCCTTTATATAGTAGAATTTTGAGATAAATAGTAACATAATTCGACTTTTTAATACAGATCGCTAGTTTTAATATAGATCACTAGTTTCTAAATACTTTTAAAAAATTCAAAATTTTTAAAATATCAGACTTGGTAGATTTTCTAGATTTTCTAAAAAAATAAATCACTTTTTAGAAAATCTAAAATACTAGAGAAACGAGAAAATCTATTGAAAATTAAATCCTGAAAAATTTAAAATAATAATGAGAATTAGTTTTTAAAGTTATTTCGATTTATAGATCAATTAAATGTCTAGTTTCAAAGCGATTATATGATTCCATTATTATACAATCATATAATCTGTATTGAAAAGTAGAATTTTGTTATTATTTGTCTCAAAAAGACTTTATACTTTACGTCATTCTCGTTTATTGTTCAGAGACGTGATAACAATCATATGTATTCTCTGATCTAAGAGGCCGTCCATATGCAGTTAACGAATACCAAACCCCGGCATCCCCAACAGTTGGTGGCGCTATCTACTACCTATATGCTGCTTATATTTCTCACTCTGAACTCGTAATCTATATCTCAATTACTCAAACTTCTTCACAAATTGCTTGATATACTCAACTGTAAGCCCAAATTTCCCATAACCATGAAACTCATCGTCGCCGGATCAACGGGGTTTGTCGCCACAGAACTCATCAAACAAGCCCTCTCCAGCCCGGAAATCACATCCATCATAATTCTTGCTCGTCGTGAAACATCTACACCACAAACCCTTGACGATAATGCTGACATCATCAAATTCAAAGCTGTCATTTGTGATAGTTTCTCAAATTATTCGGAGAGTGTGAGGAAGGAACTTGAGGGTGCGGATGCGTGTGTTTGGTAATGTTGTTTACTTTTCCTCTATTATTATATTCTTAACCCCTTCATTTATCGCTTACGGATTAAGGATTTGATTGACATAATATTAATCAATACCATAGGCTCATTGCAATAACCCCTTCTAAAATGAAAGATTCAACATTAGATGAAGCGAGGAAAATCTGTGTAGAGTACACAGTAAACGGGCTCGAAACTATTACCCAGCTTCCGCGTGAAAAGGATGCTAGACCTTTTCGGTTTATTTATGTTAGTGGACATAAAAGTGAAAGAGATCAGAGTAAACAGCCTTGGGTTATGGGTGATTATCTTTTGATGCGGGCATGTGTTCTTTTTCTCCCGTTTGGCAAGGATTGAGTATTTAATGGTTTTTTAGGGTGAAGCTGAATCCCGTGTCGTCGATTTTGCTCATGCGTCACATGGGTCAGTGGAAGCATGTATAGCGAAACCAGGACTGATAGATAGACCGGATCGTCGGCAAGGGTTGGTGGGTAGTGTATTGTCGACAATTGGGAGAAGTCTTATTGGGCTTCCGAAAGTGGATGTTAGTCAAATTGCGGCGACTTTGTTGGAGCAGGCAGCCAAGGGGATTAAGAAAGAGACGTTATCGAATGAGGATCTGGTCAGGATTGGGGATAAGGCGTTGAGTGGTTAGCTGAAGTCGCAATGTCCATTCCGTGGTTAATGGTTCTCCTAGTTGCGAAGTTTATCGGGCGATTTGGGTGTTGGTTAACGATTATGTATCTCGAGAATGAAATGGGATGGTAGCACTATGAATATATAGTGAATTGGTATTTAATTCATCAAATCTCACTACGACTCAGGCAAGGTATTGTGACATCCCGATGTCTACTCTGCACCAGGTCCCTGTGCATTGAAACACCCATTTCCTCGAATAATATTTTCCCAACTCCTTAATCTACTAAACGCCGTGGAATTTACCCTTCAATTATAAACGAATCCTTCCTTGCCTGTTCTCGAGCCACCAGGAAAATAGCGACAAAAGTAATCCTGAGCCAGCCAATCCCAAACAAGAACCTCCCAAAAGCCATAATTCTAATCTCTTAGAATGCCGCAGTGCTATAGCCGCAGCACAAGTAGTCATATTTTGTTCCGACGTCATGATCGTCTCCATTCGCTCTATCTCGCTTCTCTCATTGCAGATCCATGGGCTTACTGCCCCATGAAGTCCTTTCTCTCTAGAGCCATGAGTGTGGACCTTGAAGAAGAGACCAGGTAATTTCAGTCCATCACTGAGAAGGCAATGTACTTCTTCTTTCATTTGAGAGTAATCGTTTTTAGGATCAAGTAAAGGGGACTTTGCTTTTTCAAACAGTATATCAAAGCCACCGTTCGCGAAATTATTGGTAGAAAAGTGGTAGCCTGTCGCATTTCCGAAACCGAACTTGAGAACTTCCGTGTCGGTATCGAGGATAGAAGGGAGGAATGTGAAGAGCATGGGAATACCTTCATGGGTTGAGATGCTGAATGTTGGGTTGGTGCATGGTGATGACAGAGGGCAATAATACCCTACGTGGTGAACAGGAAAACCGATAGTATGGGTAATAAGGTATGGTACAGCTTTCGGAAATTCTGAAGGATTAGGGTACATCATGTCCAGTAGAGCTGGAGGATCGAAGTTGGGATTCAGCGGTCGTCCATTCGAAAAGTGCGGAGTCGTAACATTAATAAGCTCTGATCGAAGGGAAATTATAGAGCTGCTGAGAAGTATTACAGACGCAATAGTATTTGTTGTACAACGGGAAGGGGAGTTCCTCTCAGAGTAATTGGCACAGATAGCGGTGACATCGCTGAATGACACATAGGTCTTTTTAGTATAAGCACCTACTGCTTCAAGCAACCATGCTGACGGGTGGTCATTTCCATGGCTCTTGTCTCCGGACTTTGAGTCTGATGAAAGCTTGCCTAGATCATTCGTAAATTTCGAGGGTTCCAAAGTAGCGTTCTCATGGGAGCAATCGCCGAAGTTCGTGGTCTCCGCCGAGGAGTATCGAACCGTATGGTACAGAAAAATATTCAGTAATATCACCACTACCAGGCATTGGATTGTGAATTTCAGAGACATGCTTTCAGATTTACTGGCTGCTGCCTTATTCTCGTCTTGAGCTGTTGAATCGAATGTGGTGAACGGTAAATTTTCTTTAGATGATGCAACACCTGATCGTGAAGACTCCATATTGAGCTGAGAAGGTCTCGTTGAATTTTGACCGAAAGGGCTTGATTATGAAACTACTACTTAGCTTCAATGAAGGGCAACCATTCCTTTTGTATTACGCCTACCCCGCCAAGATGGTCGGAATGACTGGTAGCCGCGCAGCATACCATTTCAAAATGTTGGAGTTGCGTTTACCCTTAGGCATCTGATCTGAGTAATAGGTTTGTATCCTCCAGGTAACTCTGAATTCTAATTTCAGATTTGAGGGGATGTCTTATCATGGCAATAGTGGGGGAAGGTACTTCGCTGACAATCTATCTCACAAATAGTTTACCAAACTCGGGGGAAGTGCATTTTGAGGGGAACAAAATGAGCGAAAGCGAGTACTTAGCTTAGGACTCGATATTTTGCTTCCACGAAAATCACTACCTTCCCTTGAATGACTGCATCAGAGTTAGTTATCTGCAAAATCGTCTCTCCGCCCCAATCTTTAGTTATTCGAAATAGACTGTGATTTTCGCAGGGGGTTTAAACGCGGATACCCACCGAGGCGCCTGCAATTCAACAGAGGAATCGCAAACTTAGATTGTTGCGAGGCTTCTAATGAAAAGTCTGTAAATCTTAAGGGCATTGAACACAGCCATAACAGATTTCTCGTATCGCGGAGGTAAATTGTACTTGTACCTTTTTGGTGATATTTCGACACTTTTTGTCAAGTAGTATCAACTAGAAGAATACCATGCGTTCGTAAGTTCCAAAGATCATCAAGCGGTTGTTACCCAGCAAAATATACAATTGAAAGGATTACATATTCCCCCTTATCGCGTAGACACAACTTGAATACCCAAGAACGATTGTTTGGTGGTTGAAAATATTGTTGAGGGTTCGGTATTGCAAAGTCGTCGTGTTGTGTGGAAATGTAGAGAGAGAAAGAGAGGGAGAGGTATTGAGGATACGAGGATACGAGGATACGGTGACCGAAACGAGCCGAAACGCTAATTATTGTAAGATGGCACGTAGATGGGTATCACCTTGCAAACAAAATCAATTCACGTCACACACCAACAACTGATCAAGGTTTTTTGATATTCTTGTACCAGCGATGTAACTCCTCACACATAAAATCGTATGGACAGCATCCTCATACTATGGAAATGGAATCTCTAGCTAGGAGGTGTTAGTTCTGGTGTCGCTCTTCTTCGCGCGTCTTCAGGCTGAAAAGGTTAAAAATGTCGCGATCGCTCCCCATCTGACGGAGTCGACGACCCCTAAAATATGATTCACCACCTCAATATTCCCATGCGTTCCCGGCTGAATGCCGCTCAAGAGTACCATATTTGTACACGCAGGTATGCCCGAGGATTTTTGGTGTAGCTACTCTATCCACTACATAACAAGACCAGAACACGCTGGTCTAGACAATCTCGAGACAATCAAGCATGACAATCAAAAATGGGGAATGCTTTCTGATTTTTTCACGAATTCGATACATTCGCTATCGCAATTGCATTTCTGCGGAGGAGTCTTTGGCCCTGGGAAGATCTCGAACATCGCGAATACGGAGCAGGATCCTTTCAATTCAGATACAGGGACTTTTGGTATCGTACGCGGGTACAATACCTACTGTGCAATCGATGATCTGATATTTAGTATGAACAGGTATTATTTGTGGGCCAATGCAAGAGAAAATGGGGGGAGGTTCGTTGACCTTGACTTTTTTTGCAAGCATAAGTTATCATATAAATTGGCCAATAAAATTCGGTTAGATTCTCTGGAGCTGGAAGCATATCGATTGATATCCCCTGCTTCATTGGATATAGGTACCCTATTTCAGTCAGAGTGCCCGTTTTCCTCCCATTCTAATACCATATCTTCTCATCTCTCTTTTATTTTGGAAATTGCAGGACCTAAGTACATTCCTGTTTTCAAAATGCCTGAAGTTCCAAAATTTCGAATCAGTGTGATAGGCAGTGGCCCAATTGGTAAGCTACTTCTGAGTAGTGTAGCTGCTCATCCAAGAATTGAGTATACACAATTCGAAGCCGAAACATTACCTCTACGTCCCGCCTTTGGCTATGGTATTGGGCCACAAACGCTTGCAACGACGAAGCGGTTAAGCTTATTTAGTCCACCAAACCCTTTGTTTTTCTACCTGCTCCTATTTTCCGATTTCAAATTCCGCTGTCATGTCTCATTGAATATACTCCTTTTTGCTTCCGTAGACTGTATCAGCACTTCTTTTTTCTCATGTTCTTCCAAAAGTTCGTCCCTGTTAGGCAATACTAACTCCCCGGTCTTACAGTCTTAATCTAGCTATCTATAAGGAATTGCACGACCAATTTTAGCCGACCCTGTTTGGATGGAATTTCACCATGGCGGGGAGGAAGACAATCATTTGCATACCATTCGTGTCCCAGAGGGAGAAGTCTTTGGGAGAATTGGACGTGATGAGCTTATGGTGATGCTTGATGCTTTCGGTCCCAAGGATACTCCAATCCAGTACGGCAAAAAGCTCAAATCAGTAAAGAAAAGTACTGATGGCGAATTAACGCTGACGTTTGAAGATGGTGGTGAAGATCACGCAAATGCCCTATGGGCGTGCGATGGTATGAATTCTCTGTGTAGAAAGTTCGTGCAGGGCGAGGATTACATACCTGCAGCTTACTCAGGCCATGTGACATTCAGAGGAAAAGTCGAGAGCAGCAAGATTGAGGCGGAGATTGGGAAGCGATTCACTACAGATACATCTATGTTCCTTGGTATTAAAGGTTGGCACGTATTAACCTTCCCCATTGATGGTGGTAAATACGTTAATATTGCGGCATTCTCAATGGAGGAAGTTCAGAAAAAGCGTGGAAGGAACTACGTAACAACTACCGATGAGCTGCTTACTTATTTTCCCGGGGCGAATTCCAAAGTTCGGAAATTCTTGACGGTAAGCGTTCAGGACATTGGCAGTAATGGTGTTATTCCTTGAGCTAACAATCTAACAGCTGCTTAATGACCAACCAGGTGGTTGTGTATGCCTTGAACTGACTCACATGCAGACTTTGGGTACCTTTACCAACCAAAGTCTTTGTATGACGAGCTTCGGTGATTCTGCTAATGGAATGCTACCTCATATCGGAGGCTCGATGGCAACCGGGTTCATTGGCGTTACTACCTTTCTGCATGAAGAGCTGAATCCCCGTATTCATGCCCTCAACCCGAATGCGAGCAATGCCGAGATTGCCGAAGTACTCATGGAGGCTTCTATTGCATATGAACGTAAGCATAAGCCTTTGGCGCAAAAGCTTGTGGACTACTCAAGAGAACAGGGGTTTGTTTTCTCGGGTGGAGTAACTGACGCCGAGGAATTGGCTCGAAGAGCAAGATTTTTGTGGAAGGCTGATTCTTACAATGCTACCGTTTAAGATGAAACAATTATCATCTATGTTGGTAACTCCACCTCGTCCACCTCGTCCACCTCCAGTTTCAACAAGAAGAAGATGCGCTCCAATGAATTTTGCGTCCGAAATATGATTGACCGATAACTCAAAATTTGTTAATTGGGTACTTGACCTATGTTTTATTGCTCCACTAAGGCTATTTAATAGACCTTATATGGAAAAGGTGTGGAGATGTCAAATTGAACCCTGTTTGTGGATATTGCTAGTCCAATTGCTTAATTCAGCAAAATACATAAATCGTCCAAGTTTCATTGGCCGATGGTGTCTAAGCTTTTAGAAGCTTCGTGGACGGATTTGATCCGAGCCTTCGCGGCCTTAGGGAACGAACATCCGGGTAAAGTATTCTCATTAGCAATTGACCCACTTATCAATATAGTGTGCTCCGTAATTCAGTTATTCGGCAGCGAACCCCTAATAGCTCCATCAGCCATACAGCGGAAAGCAGGCCGGTAAGTGGCCCTTGCTATTATCCTAGATGTGCTTTCGAATCCTAGAAAAGTACGGAGATTGAGTATCGAACGCGAGCACAACTGAATAGTTTTATGATAATTGTAGTCTCTCTATCGTTGTCGGGTTCCTTTGTTGTTTTGACGATGATGATTTTCTCGTGTATTCTGTTTAGAGTTGCGAACAACTGCACTGTGCCATCTTGGAAAAGCCACTGCAGAATAGTGGTGCAGTACCGACGCAATGGAAAGCTAACTCGCATCCCTGGACCATGGTCAGGGAAAGCTGCCAATACTACTTTCAACGGCAGCCCCCGTGCCACCCTTGCTACAGTGACCGGGGAGCATTGGAATCAGAGATAATGTCTCAGTCCCTACCCGGCTATTGTACATTATTATAGCACGGACTAGAGATCATTTTTGCTCGAAGCAAGCCATCTTGAGAACAATGAGAGTGCCCCCCCACTGTTCTCAATCTGCTCCCTGCACCAGGGTATTTCAGTTGATCCGGCTCCTTCCTAAATTGTATGGGGACGGGTATTCTGTGGTGCCCTCTTGGACCAGAGTTTATCCACCTGCGGCCCAAAGATCGGTTTCCGAACAGAATTGCCTCAATTCGAAGAAAATCCTTCCGTTTGACATTGCTAGGGGTTTTGCCACAAGCTTGCTTCAAAACAATGTTTTCAGCAGCCTGCGTCCACGGGGACAAAATACAATATACACCAAAGCTGAAATATCAACAAGCATCTGATGAGTCTATAACATCCTATCATTAAATTCCAATCGGAATGTTCAAAGGATCTGACTCGAATTAAAACATTGAAGAACATCTGGCTGTTAGGATTCGATTAAATGTTGATGAGTGTCGGGCCTGGGTAGGTATCCTCGATTGGTGCATAAACTAATTCGTTCGTTGTGTGCCTGTTCACTCTCTGCAAGATATGAATCCCACGCAACAAGTGATTTTAATACGGATAAATGGCCATGATCTTCATAATGGTTGGAAATACAACTCACTTGCTCATTCTCCTCCAAGTCTTTGGCAACTTGTTCCTCGTGTATTCTAATGCGAGCGGCGCTTTTATTTCCAAGTTCATTTTTCAGTAATAGTGTAAAATGCTGCCGGCTTTTCTGCCCTATAAAGACACCGTACAGTCGTTAACTCTGGGTTTCGACCATCGAACTGGAATCCTGGGTATATGCAAAATCCATACTTGGTGTTGGCCCCACAGCAATTAATAATGCAGGAGAAGATAATCTCCATTTCAAAAATCACTATGTAATCACAAGGGCCTTATACACGTATGCCTCGGGCGGGTTGAATTTAAGTTCATGAGACACCTTGACTGCGCAATGTTCCACAACTTTGTCCGATTTTGCGGAATTAGATTCATGAAGTCATACGGTCTAATCAAAATCTTTTAAAAGAGGTAGCTTTTTTCTCAGGGTTTACCCGAGTGCGAAAGGATTTATCGCCATATAGGAACCACGATGATCTGGCTGACAAACCCCCACACAATTGCAGGCCTTTCATCCTGCAACGGGAACCGAGTTCAACCCTGTTGTAGAACATGCATCGAAAGATACCAGCTGCTGGAATCAGCCTTCAAGATTTTAATGATAAGCTATAAATCAGTCGCGAGTTATTCCCTATTCGCGGCGACAAGTAAATAGCAGAGGTACTACGGGTTGCCGCTTGGTGGCTTGCGAGGCTTGGAATTAAATGCCATGGGTCCCTCGCGCATTTGACATATCGTTCCTACATGGACAGCATACCTTGTCACTATCAGTGGTAGAGTTTTGCACAGCAGTCATTTTGACCATGCATGTTATTACAGCAAATGTTCTACATTAATTCTGTAAAAACATGTGAGCCCAGAAATAAAGTATATCATTCATTCACGTCCCCGCAGCCTTATAGTATCCACTGGAGTTACTAGGCAATTGTCTATGCTGATTGATCTTCTGTCGATTGTTTTCTCTTTCGCGCAAGTGTCTTCACGATGAGCACAGTCAATGTATCGACCAGTCCTCCAGTTGCGAGTAACCCTCGCGGGGCGGTCGTTCTTGAAGGAGCTACTATTTCAATGGCCTTCGTTGTGATTTTTGTTTGTCTGCGAATATGGGGTCGATATCGCTATAACAATTCGCCTGGAAACTCGACGCCAAGTTTCGGTGAACCCAGATACTGGATGCTGGTCTCCGACTTAGCAATCGTTGCTTCATCTGTAAGTATCTAAATCAGATTATCACACGATGATTCTAACACTTCTACAAGGTACTTGCCATCATTTTGACTGTGATCGCTTGTGTTAGTAAGTGATTCTGTGGTATATTTTAAGGAAAACGCTGAGCAGTTAATCAGGCGCGGAATGGGGACTTGGACTTCACTCGAAACTATTGAGCAAGACACAGCTTGAGACTACGCTTCAGGTTGGTACCCATTCGATAAACCCTTGATTGTGAAATACATTCTAATCCTATATAGATGTTTTATCTTTATCAGATATTCTATAAAGCAGGATGTGGTCTTTCGAAAATCGCGACTTGTCTACTCCTCTTGGCCATTTCGACTCCACACATGAAGAATTTCAACAAATGTTGCAAGATAATGATTATATATATCGCGGGATATTCTCTCAGCTGTTCCATCGTTTCAGCCTTTCAATGCGGCCTCGACTTCAAGAGTAATTGGACTCACTCGTTAAGACAAACCCACTGCTTCTACAAACCCCCATTCTGGTTTACTCATGCTGGCTTGAACATCTTCGCAAGTATAGTGGTCGCAGCTCTTCCATGGTGGCTATTCTCTCATGTTCAATATAAGAGAAAATATACTATAGCACTGATCATGACCATATTAGCTCTTGCGTAAGTCGTCACTCACCTCATAAACAATGTGACCATATCTAACCTTTCAATAGCGAGATTATCCTCGGGTGTGTACGTTTGAAGGGTCTTTATACATCTTCTCAAAATCTCAACGACATACCTTGTAAGTTGATCTCAGTACTGTCATAATACAGACTATAATGCTTACTCAACTCTTATGAAGATGGTGCTACAACCGGTATACTCGTCTCTCAGCTTGAAGTCAACTTCGGAATCATCTCAGCCTGTATTCCTACTGTTCTGAAGATTATGGAAGACTTCTTTAGGCGGTTATTTGGGATTAGCTTTGGCGATACAACAATTGAATCGGGGGCTCAATCCCAATCTCGATCTCGCAATCTCGGGGCTATGGGTAGTCACTTGCAGACTACAGACAAGTCGAAGCCTCGCTCACAATACGAGCGTTTTGGCGACGACGATCTTGAGATGGATTCTTTGCATTCGGGCAATAGCAGGGAAAATATCATTCGTGACGACAAAATCCCTGATCAAAAGATCAAGGTTGAAACATCTTACATCGTAGAAAGGGAGATTGATAAATCCGAAAGTATGTAGACGATTAGATTTCGGCAGGGCTGGCTCCACATAGTGGGGGAAATCATTTTATCTCCAATTTAGCACCTGTCTACCACATATCACAGGAGCCACAAGGGCCTAGAGTAAACATGGCCTCGGAATGCGTTTGAAATTTAGAGCTGGACTCGGTTGTAACAAGATTGTAACTAATTTACCATATCGATGCCCCACTAGCTGTGTGATACCACGGGTGGTATACGGAGTAGTAATGGCAAGATCATACGAGTTAGAGAGCTAGGGGGGTCGCGGGGGTAACGCACTTGCGCGTAACCAAATAATATCCCATGTCGATCACCCCCGTCATGACGGGGGCACGCTGCGGACTTAAGCGAGTGACAAGGAATATAAATTCTGTATATGCATCCTTCATATGAGTAATCTGGATCGGGAAAAGGACCCCGTAATCGATTGGGTAACGTCCATGTGCCGATATCCTTTTATCTACAGGATTCGTTTTGCTTTCAACCGAAAACTCATGTCGAAACGAGTGTTGAACTTATGCTTGCTAAAGGTTTGTTACAGGTTGGTCTAGGCAGACTCTGCATCGGAAGTCCCCACAAATATCAATAATTGATCCTAGATGGTTGCGGTAAAGGCGTTCTTGCATGTTGAGTTGCAAGGCGAATATTGCGATAAATACTACATTCCCAATTGCTACATCCCACCGAGATTGTTTCCATCAGATTTGTACTTCAACCCTTCACATCCCTATTCTTTGTTTGTCTAGTAGAAAGGGATATTCATCTACCGTTCGAAGTACCACTGCTCAACGAAAACATGGCACAAGAACCAGTCGCAGAAGTGTCTCAAATGGACGAAAAACACTCCGCTACAGAGACCAGCCATGATTTGGCACTTGCTGGTCCCTCTCGATTCGATAAGAAGCTCGCTTTGAAACTTGATATTTACCTTCTCACACCCATGCTCTTCTTGAACTTCCTGTCTCTCATGGGCCGAACGAATATTGGTGCCGCCATGGTACAAGGCTTGCCAAAAGAATTGAAGATGGATGCCATGAAAGTTTTCATCTCAGTTACCATTCCCTTGGTACCCCTGATCCTATTTGAGGTTCCCAGTAATCTCCTCATGCGCTTTTTGGAAAGGAAATACAACTTCTCATACATGAGATATCTATCTCTTATGACTGCTCTTCTAGGTACGTCTATCTCCATAGTCTTATCCTATGCGTCGATATCTAACCTGAACCAACAGGTCTCGTCACTCTGGGCCAAGGGTTTGACCAAAGCTATTCGGCCTTGCTAGCAACTCGCTTCCTCGTAGGAGTATTTGACTCTGGGCTCATTCCCGGATGTATCTTCGTCTGTGCTTTATACTATCCATCAGTACATCTGCAATGGAGAGTTAGTATGCTTATGGTTGCAAATATCGGTTCAAATGTTGTGGGAAACATTTTGGCTTTTGGTATTGCTCATATCCACAGCTCGAATGGGTATAAGGGATGGCGATGGTGAGTCAAGTGATTTCTTAATACTCCGGACGGTGAATATTTGAAGGCGGTACAACGTCTGAGAGCAGCACAATCTTCAAAGTGGATTCATACATCGAAAGCCGATTGTTGTCGGACTGTAGCCCGAACTACTGGATCTTCCGCATCTGTGTTCATATGTCAATATGCAAAGATTGGAGAGTAAATACTAACCTCTGATCCTAGGGTCTTCATTGTCGAAGGATGTCTCACCCTAGCTATCAGTTTTGCATGTCTCTTTTGCAACATCAGCCGCCCCGAGACAGCATCTTTCCTCGCCGAAGAACAGAAGGAAACCATCGCCACTGAGGTTGAAGCTCGCACAACAACCGTCGGAATCGTCGCAGAATGGAAGATTTTCTTGAGCAATGGTCTCAACTATATCTGGGCCGCGTGTTACGTACTCACCTGTTCCACAACCTACTCTGTCGCCATCTTCGCTGCTTCTTTTGTGCAAGCTTTCCATCCTCACTACACCACACCACAAGTCCAGGGTCAAGTCGTTCCTATATTTATCGTATCTGGTGTAGCCTGTCTCTTGGCTGCATATGCAGCTGATCGTTTAAACCACCGCGCCGGCTTTGCCATTATAGGTTACCTTATCACAGCTATTGGTTTCATCATTCTCAGACAACCAAAGACCCCCGCGCCACATATCTCCATGCTTGGTCTATACTTCGTTAGCATAGGTACCTTTGTATCATTACCTCTCCTGTACAGCTTGCCAATGATCAACTCGGCTACTCCATACCAGAGGGCCATTGCAGCAGGGTTCGTAATTGGTATTGGAAACGTCGGTGGCTTTGCTAGTTCATGGTTGTTCAGGACCAGTCAGGCACCACATTACCACGAAGGAATGACTGATTCCCTCATAATGACTTTGGTGGCTCTTGCTTTAATGGCTTTTGCTTGGTTATATATCACAATCGCCAACAAGAGGTTGGACAAGAACAGCACCACAGATGCAGGATCTGTTAATGGCAAAGATAGCCTGGTCGTAAGAAGATACAGAGCATGATTTGATTTTTGTACATACCAGTTTAGCAATTTCTAAGAGTTTTTAATCATGTGATGTAGCTGTTCCTTGCCAAGGTTTAGTTTGCGCTAAGCCCAGAAGCGAACCCCCTGGTTTTGTGGAGAATGACAATCTCAAGCACAAACTCTGTGGTATCTCGAGTATCTATTTTCCAGCAACCACGACGCGTGCAATTCAATCCCAAACGAAAAAATTATGACTCAGTCCAAGTGTTCTCCTTATCTGAGAAACGGATTGATTTGTCAACTTTCTTGCAGATACCAGCCTCACCAATTCCCACGCGCCATTAATTTCTGAGGCTTCTAGCCCTCAAGGACCCACTATAAGCCCCATAAAATGATTTGTTGTCAATTCGGGCCAGCCCGATGTGGAGATCACATGTTCTTCCTTGTTGGTTCTGCCATGTTAGTCCACACCGATTCGTCAGTCTCAACCAATCATGTCTACAGAACGTTGCATTGCTGTCTCCTCTAGATCATGTACAACAGGTTTCCACACTCGCCTCGCTGCACCCACGAGATAACTTCTCCACTCTCCAGACCGGTTTTTATAATTTCGATCGAGTTTGTGAAAATGTGCTTTATCCATAAATCCTAATTTCTCCACTCCCTCCACACCTAACAGTCGATCTTCATTGCGTTCTCAATTCTTATCTTATCACATTTCACCAAGAACGTTCATTACTCGAGGCTGGATTTCCTCGTCAAGACAAAAGACATCGAAACTGTTTAGAATCTCGAAAATACAACGAAGAAAAGAAGCAAGAATCGGTGCAATAAAGCTTCTGTTAGGTTGAAAGGAAATAATAATCGGTGCAATAAAGCTTCTGTTAGGTTGAAAGGAAATAATAATCACCACCTCTCAACAAGCGAGTGAGTCGTGGTGAAGAAGTCGATCCAGGAACTGCCGGTCAGGACCTATTCGGAGAAAGAGAACTTGCAGCTGGCCTGCATTTGAATCCAGGTGATAACAGAACATCGGTACAGAAGCGCGAGTTCGAAAACGAGGAGCTGTAAATCGACAATTCAATTGGAAAATGGATATTTCCTGACACGGCAATACCATCTAACGATTATTCGTCGCCTTCTTCTAATGGATCTGGAGATCAACACCCCTTAAACGGAACTAAAAGAACTCAACATCGTGAATTCAAATTTGCTCTACAGTACCGACAGATCTATAGACCTTGACTACTTTAACCCGATCACTGAGCAAGTTTCTGAGAATATGAAAAGCTATCTGAAGAATTTTTTGCCGCCTCCAATCCCACCGGTGGGGTCAAAAACCCGATCGCAGTCCCCATCCAGGTCTCGACCTCACACTTCATCCGAGAAAAAGCCCGAGATTAAGTCAAAGCCAAAATCTCGAATGGAGCCTCAATCTTCAGTCCAGAAGGGCAGAGCGTCTTCATCTCGCCCACGTACTTCACGGTCAAAACTCGCCTCAAGTAGCTCTTCCAGTTCCAACTCGATTTTAACGTCTGACGAACTCACGGCCCAGAGGCTTCAAGCTGAATGGGACCGTGAGGATGATCTTCTTCAGTTACAGCTACAATTTGCACGCAATCTGGAGACTCGAAGCCCCTCGCCGTCTCAGTTTGAACTCGATAGACTAGAAGCGCAAAGATTGCAGGCTCAAATTGAAGAAGAGCAAGCTGCTTCTGACGCAAGACGGGCCGCACGTCTTGAGAGGGAAACGGAAGAAGCTATCAGAATTGCCACCGAGTGGGAGAATGAGGATAGTCATGCTGCCGCTTTGCAACGAGAATGGGAAGAGCAAGAAAGGAGACTTGGCGAGCAAGAGGATCTTGCGAGGATCTTGCTTCGAAGGGACGAAGAAAGGGCCGCTTCGCTTGAAAGTGACTTAGCTGCTGCGCAGGCCGCTCAAGCTCAATGGGAACAAGAAGTCCATCGACAAGAGGAGCAGACTAGAAGAGTGTCAGAGGATGAGGAGAAAAGGGAAAGACAGGCAAGGAGAAGAAGAGAGGCAAGAGAAGCTGCTGAGGCAGAGCGGAAGGCTGAATTGGAGAAAGAGAGGGCAGCTCGCAAGGAGGCCGAAAAGAAAGTGAGACTTGAGACAGAGCGATTGCAACGACAACAAGTTGAGAAGAAAGTTAAATTGGACCGAGAGCACCGAGCAAATGAGGAGACCGCAAAGAAAATCCAATTAGAAGCCCAAAAGAAAGAAAAATTGCGCGTTGCCGATGCTAAGAAAGCGCGTGAGTTAGCTGACAAGGAAAAACAGCGGGTCGCAGATGCAAAAAAGGCACGCGAGCTAGCTGAGAAGGAGAAGAAAGCAAGACAGGCAGACTGTGTGTCATGTATGGAGGCGGGAGAAAAAGTCAAGATGTGTGTACTATCCTGTAAACACGCTTATTGTGGAGAATGTATCGCGAGTAAGTAGCCAGTTTCAATTTTTCTTGCATGAATGCTAACTCATCAGGTGCCTTCCAATCTGCTCTTTCATCCAAGACACGATTCAAGTGCTGCAAGGTGAATGTGGTGACCAGCCTCGCTTCTCGCTGGCTCGATGCAACTTTCATCAGCTCCTACAAAATGATGATTCTCGAGCAAACTACCAAGGATCCTCGCTATTGCTCCAGCAAAGAATGTGCTAAATTCATTCCACCAGCCAATATACACGGAACCATTGCAATTTGTCAAGCATGCAACCATCGTACATGCGCACCTTGCGGTAATGGAGAACATTCCGGAGTTTGTAAAGAGGATAAGGAGGGTCTAGCAGTACAGGCTTTGGCGGAGAAGGAGGGCTGGAGAAATTGTCCAAGGTGTAAATTCGTGATTGAGAAGAATGAGGGTTGCCTGCACATGACTTGCAAATGTCTGTTTGAGTGGTGTTGGGAATGTAAGAGAGAGTGGAACGAGTGTAAGAGCACTTGCAAGAGAGAATAACGCTGTGGCGAATATTTGCGAAGACGAAAGAAGCATCAGATTGGTCCCACATAGTTAGAATACTCCTCAAGCAATACATTGTCCCAAGTTCTCAGAGTTCTTTGAGCAAATGATCTGTTCCAAATAATTGAAACACTCGTAATGGCAGCCATTTTTATAGTTCAGTACCTAAGTAAATTAGCGCTTGTAGGGTGGTATTGTCATTCCAGATGCAATAGGCGCGATCTTTCTCTTTCTCCAATTGAGCCATGCTGACGGCACAGCAGTTCCACACGCAAGTCGTTTTACCATATCCAATCATTTGACTGATATCGCCCTCACAAACATAGAATACTGTATTGGATTGACATCCCGTCCGCCCCGAAATATATGACGCTCGCGTACAATTTCAGGGGGTGGGCGGGGGTGAGGGACGATGGAGAAGAAATCCTTTTGAAACAAAGCATGATATAAACCCCAGACTACACTATAGACGTCAAGCTATGCGATACGGTTGATTATAGTTGATGGTTCGAGGAAAGCCGACAAATTAGACTATCAATGTAAAGACGTAGCTAAGTCCGAAACAAAGTTGGGGACCTCGGAAGTCTTTATCGTTCAGGAGGGCAGAATTTTCACCGCTTTACAGAACCTCTTGGTCATCTTGAGGTGACGGAAAATCTATTGTTCCGGTCGAGGCTTTGTACGTTGGATATGCTTGAAATGTACTGGCTACGACCGATAACTTTCCTATTATTAGACCGAAAAGAACGGAAAGGTTATTATTGTATTGAAAGTTTGTTTTGTTTTAAATTGAAGAATGATTGACGTTATCTTAATACAAACAAGTATCGTATAAATAGTCCATTAAATTAAATACTGCATCCAATTCCATTATTCTTTTCCATATTTTATCAGTGTCGTCATTTGCTTTCTTTCCGCCTCACACTCATTTACGTCTCGTCAAAGAATTTGTTCTCTACAACCAATAAATATACACACAACAGGACACACCTGGGCGTTCTTCGAATGTGAGGAAAAGATGAGCGGGCTTAGAACGAGCATCTGGGCCCCCGGCAGCTATCGCTCCCCGAGTTACAATGGCTCCAGCTATAATAATCCCGCGCGAGAGAATGCGCCAGTCTCTACTACCCACTCGCATATCTCAAGAGAGATGAGTAAGAACCGGGCAATCGAAACGACCCGCGAAATAATTCTGGATGGTAAATTGGCAAATAATGAGCCACGGAAGAGTTCTGGTGGGCTGGGCGCCAGTCAATGGGCACCGCGCGATTACCCTGGAAGATCAAAAACAGCAAATCGTCAAGAGGTTTGGACAATGGTATGTTTACACACTTGCTTGAGAGACATGCTCTGTTTACCTTCTAATCCTTCTCAGGTCACGCCGGCCTCGCAACATAAACCGATGGCTCATGCGTATAATGGCTCGAGTCCTGCATACACCTCTCCAGACCTCGGTCTTCCTTACGAAGTACAACATTACATTCTCGGTATGATGCAGCGGATCATGGAGGAGGGGTGTTATACCTTTGCATCGCGATGGATTCCCGACGTACTACAAAGGAACAATTGGACGTGCTCGGAAGCGGTTGAACTGTCTACATGGAGAACAGTCCTTCCAGAGAATGTCCCATCAGAAGCCATTACCTCGCACGGCAAATCTCTTCACCAATGCCTGGCTAATGCTGTCCGAATACGAAACTCTGCTACTCATCGGCATATCTTTTCGAGTCAGGAACTACGTGGTTTGGCACAACAAGCCGAAGACCTCATGAGTCTACTTTCTGACCACTCGAGGCAATTAAAGTTTCATAAGCTGTGGACAGAATTATACGATTGGGAAAAGCTCAGTGTAACAGACATGCAAGCCGCCAGATACAAGATGGAAACTGCACTTCAACAGATTGGGGAACGTCCTATGGAGGACGATATGGATTGGACACCTAATGTTATCTCATTGGAAAAAGTTCCCGCGGTAGAGATAGGACCAGAAGAGGTTGAGAATCACGAAGTTCATGATGCAATGGAGATCGATTAAAGAATGCACTACAGAGGAACTATGGGATGGCGAACTGGCGTTGGTTTAATCGTACGTTGTATAAATTGGGAAGATCATAGCTTCAGGAGTACTTGTGGGGGTATAGCGGGTCGGTAGGATTTCAAATACCCTTTTTGTCGCCTTTTGGCACATCTTAGACGCATTGTTTGAGGTACTTACGAGCATAGACTTGTTCTAAATCGTTTTCTAGGCAGAAACATAAAAATGAGATCAGATTGTTCCACACTTTAAATGAGCCATCCTTCGCTATATGATATGTATGTTAAGACCCTTCAAAACTTTGAATCACTACGAGTTATATTCAAAAGATAGATTAATCAAGATGGCTAAACACCAGCCTGATATACGGGTTTACCAATTCTGAGCTAACAGGTTGTCCTCGAACACTGACCTAACTCTAATTCCAACACATCACTGTCTCTCCGGAGCGTACAAGCACTCATGCCTCTCTCTGTCATGAACTCCACCTTCTCTCCCAGTCCCCGAAACTCGCGTAAAGCCTCTAGCTCGCACCTAGAAACCTCACAAACCACCATCTCGTGCTCTCTAAAGCAGGGTCTCCAATAGTCCGAACTGCAATCCAACAATGAAGATTATCAAATCACGAAACCAATTAGAACATTCAAGTCATTTGAAATGTTGAATTGTTTTCAATTTCCAATTGCTTTTAGATATTCAAGACCTTATATTGTTGGACTACAGTCCGGACCATCGGATACCCTGCCCCGAAGGAAGTTTGCAAACAATAACGTCCGCGAATATCCCCTCTTTCCTGGGCTCCAAGTGCCGTGCTTAGATGATCGCCTAGCGCACCATACCATGGCCTCTCTCCCATCTCTCCCATTTCTGCTCAGCTTTTCTTACTGCTAATATTGCGGCTTCTGCGGCGAATTTTGCTGCTTCTCGAGCAGCTAAATACTGGTCTCGAAGCGCATCCTGATTTTTGCGTGCTCTTGCCGCCTTGATCGCATCGTATGCGTCTTGCAGTTGCTGGAAGCGCTCTTTCGTGTCTCAGCTTGGAGTTTTTCTGGGTGAAGGGAAAGAGCTAGTTATTTCCAGGCCTTAGATACACCTGATTTCGTGGCACTGGGGGAGATTGAGAGTATGAGGTAGGAGTCAATAAATTGGGGGACGGCAGCGGGAGTCATGACAGTATTGATGTACTTGGTAAACGGATGGTTGAAGAAAGTTTGGTTGGTCGAGGTTATAAGTACAGCTAGGCATTCAAAAATAGACAGAATAGGGTTGTGGGAAGAAGAACAGAGAAAAGAAGTAGAGGTAAATTACAAGGTGACATATAGATACGGTTGAACACCACATTCGAGAGTCTAATACACCATAGTTAGAATAGATTGCATTGTTCAGAGAGCTATAACTGCAGTGTCGTTTATAATATTCTTTCGAAAGCTAAAATTGTTTACATTGTTTCGATTTCACAGAATGGTCGCTTAGCGTGATCCAAAGTCCTAACAATGGGGGATAAGTGAAGCGATCTTCTCGGTAAACTTCGAAATTGAGAGTTTATTGTTGTAGGTATTCACAGCAGATTTCTCGGTTGTTCTTATTCCAAGGATAACGGATTTTGTTTTGTGGTTTTCCGAAATGAGGGTTGCTAAAACAGTATTATCTTCTAGTGATTACCAGACGTCAATGATCATTGTTTCGCACATGAAGAACTGTCAGATTCTGATGCAACGATTGAGCCTCATTCTCCGTTTTTGTATATTCTAGATATTCAATGGAGAGCCTAAAACTCCGCTCTCTTGGCCGATCGTGGCACGCTTGTTTTCTTGTTCAAATGTATCAAAATAAACCACTGATCTTGGATGTGAGGATCAAATGCTAAATTCACAGATTCTCAAACCATGTAGGCTATCGATTTCAGAATACCAGAACAATTTGTCACAGATCTGAATATCTTGATACAAAATGAAGGATGATAAGCTAATAAGTGGATGTTTCAAATTCATCATATACTGACAGAACCTGCTAGAATCGATATTACAAACTTTCCATTGATATAGTGCCCAGATTTCAAGACCACAGCCTTAGCGTAAGTTTCTCATGAAGACGATGTCTGTTACGAGATAGAAATTGATAATAGTGCGAAGTTGTCTATATATTTCAAATGTTCAAATATAAAAGAAAATTAATACTTGCACCATGAGCTCATTTCACATGCTTGAACACCATAAAGTCGTAAGGAAAAGATGAGGTACGCCCAGAAAACATAGTAAAAATCAAGGCATATATGCCCATAACAAAGCTTTTGAATCCTATTTACCATCGAGTCCATCAAGGTACCACTGGACGTGATTTAGTCATTACACTTTTATAGTGCGAAATCCAAGAAACTTTCGTCTTCGTACCTGCCAAGCTCCAAGCCAGCTCTAAAAACTGTTGAGCGGTACCGGTATTTAGGACAACCAAACTAGATAATCGTTCCGGCAACGAAAACAACTAGTGTTAGGCTATCCAAAAAATTGTACCCAGGGAAATAAACAACGAGGGAATTCATACCAACACCATAGCATATACATACTAACATAGATAATTGCATTGAGCCCTGGGAATTCCCGCTTTCCTATTCCCTTTACTTTCAAGCTTCCTACCCCAAGATTCTTATCTCCAACAATTGAAGATAGGAAAGTATCAAGAGATAGACGGGATACTATTACCAATTCTCAGCAATTTCATCCCCAGATGTTTCCTATTCCCACTTGTAGCTCTAGCTCTAGTGCCGACTCGGCTAGATATGCTGCTCATTTAAAGAACGACGGACTCCCAAGGCAGAAGTCTTGGCGGCGGGGTGCATATTTGGCGGGAAGCTAGCGCGGGGTCGTTAGTAGGTTAGTTAGTTGAATTGATTTAATGACGCGTGTAAAATGGGCTGACTAGTTGGATAGGCTAATTTGTGGTTGCGGGTCTTGACGGTCGATGGATGAGGATGGACATTAGGTTAGTGGTCAGTGGAATGAGTGCTGTACATATTCTGGTGTTTGAGAAATCTATTGCTAGTCAAAGACGAAATCACATAGAGACACAGTAGATCGGAGAAGCAAATCAGATTATTCACCAAAGACCCAAAGAATTAGGTAAGACGTTTTGCGTTATTCATTATCCATTCCCTTAAACCATTCCATAATCAAATAATTTTCAATACCGAATCCTTTCAATTATTAGTATTTGCCCTTTGTTTCGTTTTGTTAATTGATACTTGGTGACGTGATAATCATGCCCCTATTGCCTCATCCTGTGCCCATTCATATCTGTCGTATGTGATGTGATCTCTCGACCCAAAAATGCAGTGAGGGGTGTTTTATTTTCCATTCCGATATCCCCAGTAAGAATCCCTTATTAAATCCGTTGTAATCATAAAATGTATTATCAAGAATAGAAATTGTCTCGTCATAAGATGTGCCAGAGGAACTCTACAAAAGAGCAGCAAAAAGACCAATGGCAGCCGCAGCCAAAGAGCCACTGACCTGGTAAGCGTTGGCAGCTCCAGTAAAATCAGCAGGGGCGGATGTTGTGCTGGAATAAGCATCATTCGTTGGGGTAGCGGTGGGAGCCTGAATCTGTCCATCGCTGATTTGAGAGATGACTGGACCGGCAAGAGAGGTGCTCGTTTCGAGTGTGGCTGCACTGGTGGGCGCCTGGATTTGTCCATCGGGAATCTGGGAGATCACTGCCGCAGGACTTTCGGCACTAGTGGGAGCTTGGATTTGTCCATCGGGAATCTGGGAGATTACTGCCGCAGGAGCTTCAGCACTAGTGGGAGCTTGGATTTGTCCATCGGGAATCTGGGAGATCACTGCCGCAGGAGCTTCAGTACTAGTGGGAACTTCGGCACTAGTGGGAGCTTGGATTTGACCATCGGAAATCTGAGAGATTACTGCCGAAGGAGCTTCAGCACTAGTAGGAGCTTGAATTTGACCATCGGGGATCTGAGAGACAACGGCCGAAGGAACTTCAGCACTAGTGGGAGCCTGGACTTGACCATCGGGGATCTGAGAGATCTCCGCCGAAGGAGCGGCAGAAGCGGATGTTGCACCTTGAATTTGCCCATCTGGAATCTGACTGACAGGAGCACCTGTTGGAGATGGTGCAATAGAGGTAGCACCTTGCACCTGGCCATCGCTAATCTGAGTGATTGACGCACCACCAGCAGATGTAGGGGCTTGAATTTGTCCGTCACTAATCTGAGAGATAGGAGAGGCGGAGGTTGCACCTTGTGGTTGCCCATCTGATATTTGAGAAACTGCTGCAGAGGATAGAGAAGCGATGGCAGTGGCAGTTGCTTGGCCATCAGTCGATTGTCCGACGACGCCAGATCCAGCAGCTGAGCTGCATGCAGATGTTTGGATCAAAATTTGGGAGCATTGTTCACCCTGCGATTCCGTGTACAAATTATTGAATGTACCTGAGAGGCATCTGTTGAAAGTCGAAAAGTCAGTATTGTCTGTTAGAGGAATATTTGGGAGAGAAATAAGGAATGAATGCTACATTTCAAGGAAGAAGAATTTGTTTGAGAAAGAGGGAAAATGGGACTTGAGATCCGGGCATAAAAGCAAGGATGAAAGAATTTTAGAACTTGTAAGATTTTTACGTACTGGTAGAAGACAGCGGAACCCCCAAGAGCGAGAGAACCATTTGAACAAACAGACCAGCCACCAGTATAAATAGCTCCAGTTTGTGGTGGGCCATCGAATTGGAACTGAGTGTTTGAAGCAATGTATCCCGTCCTATCCTGCTGGTCCTTGAGAATACCATCGTTGAGTGTGACGGCAAGAGATGAGGAACAGTCGGCACGCTATAGACGGGTTAGCTAGATCACATCTAACCATAGATTGAAAGGAATAGGGATATGTTCACCTTTTGCTGATGCTTTGCTACACTGCTAACATTTACAGTAGAGATCTGAAAAGCTCCAGAATAGCTAGTGGCACATCCATCAGGAGCAGATGCAGTTGGGGTGATGAGAGCTGTGACCTGAGCATATGCGACAGATGCTAAACCAGCAACAACAACGAATGTGGTCTTCATATTGAGTTTGATGTAGGAGCGAGTGCGTGTGAAGAAGAACGATAATCCGAAAACGAATGAAGATTTTACAGATGATCAATAGAGACCTAAATAAATGGGATGTAACAATGGAATTATGAATGGCAGGATTCTATTGTTTATGTAGGATTTTGAATGGCCACCAGCTACTAGTATCTAGATACTTAGATACCTAGTGAAAGCTACCGGCCAGAGACGGCGCGGGGCTAATATTCCCATGACATTATTGGGATAGGCAGGAGAATAGCACTTCCCATTACCCAATGGAATATTGACTATGTTGGTCATTGAATCACTTGATACAAAGTTTGACGATTGACAATGTAGAAGTGGTTAAATTAGACCTGAGTGTACCTAGGTACCTTCCGAATCGCTGGATCAATGAGGCACAACACATCACTAGTCTAAACATCTGGCGGTGATTGGTAGCCATTGGCAGGGTAGACAACCATTGAGCCCTCTCTCGATCTCAAGTGGTGAATGTGGATATTTTGTGGGAAAGCTAGAGGAAGAGGAGACTTTTCTCCACAGGAATACAACCAATACGGAATGACGAGGCTCGGAAAGATATGCATGATTTTCGAGTCTCGTGTGCTATAAGTTAAAAGAATGGCAGGACAAGCCTGGGCGGGACAAAAAGCAGGTTGGAAAGTATGGTAAGGCCCGTATAAGCTCGATTAACCCAAAATATACTTTCCCTATCATGGAATGATCGCCTCAACAACACGAGCTTAATTGGTAGAATCACCATTTGAATTAGTGTATTGCGGAGTAATTGAGTTTATACGGTGGTGCTAAGAGGGGTATCATTCGCAATTAGTCTTGTTGATTCAGGGCATTTTACCCGGAGAATAGTGATAGTGCTGATTGGCAAAACTACTTGCTAATAGCGAAAAAAATAGGACGGATTTCGACGATTCTATGATGTTGAAAATCGAAGTAGATCCGTATCATGGTATGAAAGGAGAGGAGGGAGAGATACGGTTGACAGTGGCTTAAGATAGAGGGGTTAGGTTACCATCGAAAAGCCACGAGGTATCGATTATTGAGATGTCACTACATCTGTGCGTTACTTGGTGAATGAAGAGACTCCATCCAGATGATCAAAGTTTATCTCTTTGCCAATTCATTAGTGAAATTTAAGAAAATAGGAAGAAAATTGATTGACGTCGAAAAGGACGCACGAACATGTACTCCATTGTCATATAATACAAAGTTTTTGCTTTAGCGCCTAGATACGGAGTAACGTGCCTTGAATACGCACAGTCGTAGGAGCACGGGTGGAGGCTAGTCCAGGATTAGATAAGCTACTAAATATCTACCACCTACCTTGTTGCTAACTTGCTACTTGGAATCTAATCCTGCGAGCATCGACAATAAAATGTTATCTATCTGGGTAGGTAGGCTCGTAGGTACCACGGACAGGTATCTGGATATTCTCGGCATTCTCGTATTGTAATATGCTCATTGGAATCACAATATCGACAGATTTGACACCAAGAACCAAGAACCTCTAAAACGGATTTCCAAGATCCCCGGATATAGTTCAGCCTTTATCTCAACAAAATGCTCGGCGAACATTAGGTCGAAAAATATTTTATAGAGTTAATTATGCACGTCATCATCATCATCATCATATCCTACTCAAATACGCAGTACGATGGATCACAGCACTCTTCTTATCTTTCCGCTCTCGGACAATTGGTCTGTGAAGACTCGAAAGATACATCGCCAGTACCTTCACTAATTGGGTAGTTTTGTATAAAATGCATGCTGTTCCAGATACAACGAGACAGCGTCGTGATGAAGACCTTGTCCATCTCAAGTTGTAGCTGTGAGACAAATCCGATGGCCCTACAAGAACCAAAGATATATACTCGAATTACATGACACAGATGATCATGTCTAGTTGACATTGCTCGCTCAACCTTCAGTACTATACACACCTGAGCATCAAACCGACGCCTCTAAATGATCGATTAACGATTGCAACACAGACAGGCTTCAGGACGCTAATGCGGGGTTTGTTGCACACGAAACAGAGTAAGACGGGTTCAATTACATAGCAGCCCAAGTACATCATAAGAGGCACAGACATCGAAGGATCACAATGAGGGGTACATTGCATATTCGATCGAAAGTTCTGTTGCTCTTCAAATGATGTTGAGCCCGAAAGCCCAAAGAACCCGGCAAGAGTTAATACATACTCATCGATCTTATTTGAATGCATTTTCGGGTGTTATCAAAGCTAACACTTACATACAATCGCGAACCCTGGTTATACTCAAATACAGCGAACGGAATTTCTTGATCACCGCAGTTCCTTTCATTTGGTCTCTATGTACAAAATTGAACGGGATATTGGGAGAATATATTTCAGCGGTTCATCTGAAGTCTATTTCAGTGACCTAATTGGTGCTTAGATGAACTTATATATTGGGGTTTCGAATGATTTGAAAGATATAAATCATAAATCGTCTGAAAGATTGAAGTTGGTACCTTAATGACTGTGCCCCGGGGTTTTCTTCAAATGGTTCAAGATAAGATTCATCTGATAGCCCTCCAAAGTATTGTTTCTCAAGTCTAAGCCAAAGGATCCGGTAAAGTGACTGGTGTATCCGTCCTCAACTTATTCGTAATCAACCCCTCAAAGGTACTACTCCAGCTAACTCTAGGAGTCAATGGATCCAATCCCCAAAGCTCGTCCAAAAACCCAATAATACTCGTATGCGTGTACTCACCTCCCTTGTTCTTTCCCTTCTTCTCCACCACTCCCTTGCCAACCCACGGACTGATTAAAAGCGTTGGAACGCGGACACCCAAGCGTTTGAAATCAAATGTCATGTTTTTTCCATCGGGTGCCTTTTCAGTATATGTGAGATCATCTCCAGCCGGTACGTTTGTGGGGGGAGGAACATGATCACCAAAACCGCCGTGCTCGTCAAATGTGAGGATAAAGAGGGTTTCGTTCCATTGTGGGGACGATCGGATAGCTTCATAAATTCCTTTGATGAAGTTTTCGCCGGAGCTGATGGGTGATGGGGGGTGGTATGACTGATAAGAGCAGCACTCTGGGTTGATATATGTGAATTGGGGCAGTGTGCCTGCAGCCGCATCCTCGTAAAATTTTGTCAATGGGGCAATATTAGTCTTATATGCTCCAGAGCTGAGGGTCCAGTTGTAGAATGCAGCATCTGGGTTGAAACCGAGACCAGGTCCGAGGGTGGAGTTCTGGTAGTTCATCCATGTGATGTCGTTCTCGGAAAGTTGTTCGAAGATGGATTTTACGGGAATACCGTAAACGTTGAAAGCGTTGTCATTTTTGCCGTGTCCATGCGATGTTCCACTCGTGATGTAGGCACGATTGGGATTGGTAGGGCCCGGGACAGCAGCGAACCAGCGGTCGAAAAGAACGAAGTTTTCGGCCATTGTGTTGAAGACCTTGACTTGATCAGGGGTGTAGTAGTTGATGGCTTCAGCAGCACGGGTCTTGTTCAAGGTGCTGTAGGTGATGGATTGTTCTGTCACAAAGCCACGCATGCTTTCGGATTGTGATCCAGATGGATGATATGTTGTGAAGACTTGTGTAAGTTAGCAAGCGGTACAAGATGTCTGATAGTCCGAACTATTGGAAACGCTGGAGTAGCAATAGAAACAAGGAGAACCATACGTTGCATATTAACACCACTTATACTGTGGTTTGGATCGTCTGCTGCAACATCGTTGGCACGAGGTCCAGCACACACATCGGCCTTTTGCCCAGGGTTTGACGCATTCCTTTCTGTCTGTCAATTGAAGTCCAACTAGGATTGTAAGCTTTTGGGAAAGCTTACATTGAATTGCAATAATTGTGGTGTAATAATCCATCAATAGCTGAGTTGTAATTAAGTCCACCTGCGAAGGTATCAAATGACCTGTTCTCTTCGACGAGAACGACAACATTCTTGATTCGACTTTTCCACGAATTGTCAGTCGTCTCGTGATACTGAATATTCTGGGGAGCGGCCAGGGCAACGCCAGATAAGGCTGCAATCGTTATCACCTCGAAACCGAACATTATGATACCAATAAAGATATTGCTTTCCCTTTAGATCAAGTCGTAGAATCGAAGATTCTTGCTGCTTCATATACACTCCCGGCCACCGCCGGCCGTTGGACTGCATTTGACAGCAGAGCACTAAGCACATGCACGTGTAGCCGGTGATAGGACAATGCTACATCATCAATATTGAAGTTGTACAGGAGACTGCAGATGGATATAGCCTCGACCCTGACCTTGCAGATATTTCAGAAAGTAGAACTCTCTACCTTCCTAATTCTTCGATCATCTTGCACATGGTGCAAGTCATTGGTCAAAATATATGCGTACGCGAGGACCCTTGCGTTACTATTTCTTAATAATAGTTTGCACAGAGAAAGTGTACTCCCTTCGACCTCAATCAACACTGGCTCGACTGGATAAGATTTCGATATCTGGAGATTGAGGGTGGGGTAGGTCGTGTTGATCTGCGGATATATGTATCGGCTTTTATCCTTCGCAGCCAGTCGAATTCCGGTAACAAGCACGTGTGGATTTGAAAGACGAGTAGGAAATGGTGAATTAATAAACACGGGAACCGGCAAAGTAACATTCCTCGAACACATCTGTCTGGCTTTCTCTATACGGCTAGAACCAAAGTTGTGAATAACGAGCTTACATAATTTACAATAATCCTCTCTCAGGATAAAGCTTGAAGTTTTGGAACCGAATTTCCAATCGCTCTGTTATGCCACCTATATATTTCTCACACTGGTGAGCCATATGTTTAGGCGTGATACTTCGAAGATGACCGCAGGACGAGATGTTCAGTCTTCTGCCGAATTCAAAGGATACAAATGTAGGAAATATTGGGGGGAATGGTGAGTGGTGACAGAGCTTTAGTAGCCAAAGAGCTAGAAGAGCACTTTTTACACTTTTTGCGATAGTGACAGCTCGAATCTAAGATAAGCTGTACATAGTATCTATCACAAACTGATCATACCGGGGATAGGAATCCAGGACATGAATGGGAGAAAGCTCTAAATCTTTCTGGATTCTCGTGTGTCACGTGTGCACTTCCCGTCGTGATTTGCCCCACTAAAGATACGAGGCTGGGAATACTCCGTTTGTCTCGAGTTGTGTTGTGTTGTTTGCCGACTTCGGGGATTTTCTTATCTCGCCAGGGATGGGAGACTTCTTCAACATATCTAAGTATTGACATCGGTCAATCCAAGTGTTACTAACGCGGACTTCGTCATAGACAACTCGGTCTACTTATAGGATGTGTGGAGGCTGAGTGCTATCTTGCAATTTCGAGCCGTAAAGGTATTTGCCAATCGCTAGACATGACCACTGGGTTGATGCTTTTCTATCAATTCTTACTTCAACTCAGATTGCAATATAGCAAATCCTCGCTATGAGGATATCGGGTTCTGCTGCTTCTATTAAGAACATACATGTTCTCATATACATAGAAGTCTCGACTAATCTCGACTTGGTAGTACCTACATTCCGAATAGTTTCGATTGAATACTGCTGGGTAATAATTTCTCATTGCTCTATTACAATCAAAATCTTCTTAAAAGATCATAGACCTTATTACTCATTTATCTTATCTATGCGGGGCAACCTTTTCCAGGATGAACCGCAATCGAGGAATGCCGAAGGAGATATGCAGGAACCCATCATCGTATCTTGGTATTCTTGGCCATCTTATCGGTGGGATATTCCAAGACAAATCACTAAGTATTCATGGCCCTCAAAATAGCATTCCGCTTGTATCCCGTTGTTGGGAGTATAAATATCTGCTTTATTTCTATCATTTGGGTGAACAGACAAGTGTCGTGAGCGATCGAAGGAATTTAACTTGGTCAATCTGAGACTATGGCTTTCAGAATGTTGAAATCGGCTGCTGTGACGATGTCCCTGATGAGCATGGCAAATGCTGCCATCTCAATCTCGAAGACCGGAGCTACCGTTGCTGTTAATGGCATCAGCTATTATGTTGGGGTCGACGCTGTTGCAACCATCCATTCCAAGCCGAGTACAGCAGACCTGGTTCCTTTGACGGTTATGAAAAGTTCAGAGGAAAGTTTCACCGCTGCTACATTCAAATCAATAGTTACCAATTACACTGCCTTCGACGACGTTTTCAATCCCGGATTCTTGGAAGGTATGCCCATTTTTTCAATCTCAATACCAACAATCGCTAACCAAAGTAGCTGTCCACCTTGTTGGTTCTACTAATTCTAGTTCGCTATCAACCGTTTGTCATGAATATGGAACTCAGAAGTTTACCAGCAGTTCACACAATCAAGTGCCCCCAGGGCCATACTTTCTAACACCAAATACAGGCGAGCTCTTCAAGGCTTATCGCTTGTATTCTGATGTACAGGATGCTTTTACTGAAGGAACAATTGAGAACTCAGACGGAACGTTTTCCATTCTGAGTGCATCTATTCCCGGGGTGCAGAGTTCTACTATTGGCGTGCCCTCCAGGCTCTACTATACCAAAACTGCTGAAAAGCCTCTCGCTGGAGTCCGGCTTGGTGTTAAGGATATCTACGATATTGCAGGAATTAAGACCAGTAACGGCAATCGTGCATATTACGAGCTTTATCCACCAGCAAATTTTACTGGACCCGCTGTCCAGAGTTTGATTGACGCAGGAGCAGTAATCGTCGGGAAAATGAAGACATCCCAATTTGCTAATGGGGAAAGTCCAACCGCTGACTGGGTGGATTATCACTGTCCTTTCAACGCCCGTGGTGATGGATACCAATCCCCATCCTCTTCTTCTTCTGGTCCTGGAGCTGGAATTGGTGCTTATGATTGGCTAGACATTGGCATTGGATCCGATACTGGTGGAAGTATTCGTAACCCATCTCAAGTCAATGGATGTTTCGGTAATAGACCATCCCATGGGATGGTTAGCTTGGATAACGTTATGCCTTTGTCTCCCACTCTTGACACCGCCGGTTTTCTCACCAGAGATCCAGTTTTGTGGCACGAAGCTGCTAAAGTCTTGTATGGAACCAATATCACAAGCAACTTCACTGAATTTCCCAAGAAGATCTGGACATCAGATTTCCCGGTGAATGCCACAACAGAGGCTGAATCAGTCTTACTTGATTTCCTGGCGAAGTTAGAAACGTTTCTTAACTCGACAAGCACAACTGCTCTAGATATGGGGGCTCTTTGGAACGAGACAACCCCATCTGGAGCCAATGGCTCATCAATTGACGACTTCCTCAGTCTTGTCTATCCCACCCTCATTACCCAACAGCAGTACAGTCTCCTTGCCGAACAGTTTTATGCAGATTACGCTGCTGCAAATGATGGCGCCCGTCCTTTCATCGACCCCGTACCATTAAGCAGATGGGCTTGGGGACAAAACAACATCAGTGCTGATGCAACTGAACAAGCCATTTATAACAAAACTATTTTCATGGATTGGTTCGCCGCGGAAGTTGTACCTTCTAGCCTAATCAGCTGTAGTGAAAGTTTGTTTCTGTATCCCGGGACATTAGCAGAAACATCATATAGAAATGAATACACTAGGTACGTAAATTTTTCCACATATCCATAGGAATATCCAGTAGTCTGGACTGTGATCCAAAAATCAGAAACCCCGAAACATTCGAAACTTGAATCGATTTTTTACTAACCGAGATCAATGGATAGTCTCCCAGAAGTACCGTCCGGATGGTCTGTCAGCCGCGTATCTAACTTTGCCGAAGTCCCCGATATGGTATTCCCAATAGGCCAAGCTGCATACAACTCTACCATATCATTGCAAACAGAGTATCTGCCGGTGGCAATTGACATTATTGCGAGGAAAGGGTGTGATGGGATGATATTTGAACTGGCGGAACGGTTGTTAGAAGAAGGTATTCTGGTGGTTCCCAAAGCAGGGAGTGTAATGTATTGAATTTAGCGATTTCATCTTGGATAGTTATTTAATGTCTATATTTCAGTTGATCAACATTGAAGCTTTTAGGTGATGATTGCAGATGAAATGTTCATATTATTACGAGTAACTATATACGATAACCTCTGCAGTCAGTTGCTCAATCTCATTACCCAGACATCAAACGCCTCTCGTAAATACTTTGCACATTATTTGCTTTGCAAAATCTAAGACTCATCTTTACTAAACTTTTCCAGCAATGATTAGTGGCCAGCCATACATTGTGTATTCACACAGTCATTATATTCGACTGCGCTACAAATGTTTCCCTTTATATCGGTACTTCCACTCTCATTCCCAGGCACAAGGACTAAGAAAATGTATACAACGTGCACCCCTAATAGACAGGTCCTTATAGAGAGGTTCTCCTGTACCGATATCAGTTGAGGGTGTACGTTATACACGTTATTTTTAAGCCCATGTATTTAGGAGTAGAATTGGGAGTACAGGTATGGAAGAGAAGTTCCTCGTGTACCTTCCTCCTTTTCTCTTAATACTCTACGACTACGTATTCAAATTTATATTATTATCCTAATTCGTGCTATTGTCCCAACTTGTATTATTGTCCTGATTCATATCATTATCTCAACTCATGTTATTGTCCTAATTGACATTATTGTTCCAATCAGTATCATTATCCTAACTTAATATCATGCAATCAGTTTCACACTTTCATAATACCATAGTTCATCATAAACCACATGGTTTGGTCTAGTACAAAAAACATCCCAATTTTCCATAAAAAACCTCAGCATGATAATTTTTTTCAAAATTATAAAATGTTCCACCGACTTGATCTCTTGCTATTTCAGTGTATTTCTGCTTCAGATTACCAGGTATGCTTCTACAAAATTTGTTCTTGTCCAGTGCATGCGCCTGTGCTGCCCCACTTGCCCCGCTCCAAGCTGCAAATTTTGCTCTTTTTTTCTTCTTTTTTTCTCAAAAGCCAATTGAGTATCAAAATGATATGCGAAAGAACTTCAAAAATTGAAAACAATTAAGTATTTATGAAAGCAATGGATATTTGTTTGCTGTGAATTTTGATGTGTTGATGGGTAGATAAAGGAGGTAGGCGTTAGCCGAGGAGATTAACTACCACACGCTCTCTTTTCTCCAATCAAGAACATTTTGTGTCTATCGTAGCCTTTCGGAGATAATTTCAAAGTTGGTAGTTTTTTCTATGAGATTGATGTAATGATAAAGTAGTAAAGTAAAAGATGATTATGGGCTTGCTCCTCTAACCCCTCCAGCAACATGTCGCTTTCAACGTTATGTCTTCGATGCTCTACTTCAGATGAGGTCAAATCTTTCAATAAGATTAGCTAAAACAGCAGGGTTCCGTACTACTATTTGGAAAAACTAAACGCTAGACGTCGCCTAATGTGAAGATCCCTTCGTTATCCCCTGCTTTAGCCCCATGCTTCACATCCACATGCAAAAGGCAAAAGAATTTGACCTACGCAGGGATCGAACCTGCAATCTCTTGATGCCGAATTGAAGAATTGAATCCTTTAATCGTAGTCAAGCGCCTTGCCATTGGGCCAGCAGGCCATATTATTTGATGGAGGAGCATGTGATATTTTGTCAATATATACCTAGAATTTTGGGAAGACTCATTTGCTCAGTTGTTGACCAAATCTGCACATTGGGAATGGTTTCTTATGACAGCACTTTCTGACTGTTAATTCATTTTCATATGAAATGAAAAAATTAAGTTGGACAATGATTGATACAATACTATTTAATTCTGCGAGAGCAAATTTGAAACCATAGCGAAATTTAAACCGATAGACTTCCCTACGGATTCCTTCACACCTGCTTCTAGCACTTTCTTCCAAGAAACACTTTGATTGGGAAGTCCTCAATATCAAGAATGCTTACCGTCTTCAGTCATCAATCAAAGATGTTGGTAGAATAATTATCAACCTTCAATAATTCCGATTCAGCTTACTCTGGTTCGTACTTTACTTGGGTATTTAAAACACCTCAGCATCAAGTCGACACGTACATTCAGAAAGTCAAGATCCGTGGAGTATAAGGGGACTATGTAAGTAGAATCTTATGCGCGGTAGCTGGTTTCGTCTATTCTTTGCCTTAGTACTACAATAAAGAGAGTCTTTACTACAGCCTAGCATCAAACTCATGTTCTCTTGCGAATACAGCTTATCGAAGCGTATTTCAATTGTTAATTCGTCTAAAACTCGGGGTTAGAAGCATTAAATCAAACAGCAAAGACTGTGAGCAGTGCTCACTACGAATCTAGTAATTCATTTGTGTTTCTGTAGGCATCCAAATAGTTAGGGATAAGTGTAGGTCTCGATGTTTAAGTTCTATTACGCGTGCTTCTTCTTCCGTGCTGCCATCGAAACTTGTTTATGCCTCTAGTGAGATCTTGATGTCCAAAAATCATTTGATGCTATGTGGGTTTACTTTTTTGAAGATGATGGAGTATTCTATTTTAAAAGAAGAGATAAATTTACTCAAAGACTTAGCAAGGAGTGATTAGGACTTGGCGGGTGCGTTCCCTTTCTTTCTGTGCGGATAATCTTCGAACCTGTTCTGAATCATCTAGACTATCCTGAATGATTATATTTGTCATAAAGAAAGACTTGAATCAGCACAATCAACCGACACAAGGCATTTACAGTAAATTGCTATGTCTTTTCGTCTTTTTGTTAGTCTCATCGGGCCATTAGTACCATGAGAATATGACGTGTACAATGTACTCTCCTTCAAGAAGATTCTACTTCCTGATCTCAATTAATACCCAATGACAAAGCTCAAAGCTCTAAATTTGGGGTTCATGATATGTTTTGACCACAAGTATAAATACTGCTTCTTGGAGTCTTTTCACCACAATGTACGGCTATTCATGTTTCATTTCCAGATCGACTGATCCCGAACTCGATCTTCTATCGTACTATCTGGCACAGACTTTTGTATAATTATGCAGTATGAAAATCACAAGAAGCCGTATCTTTGGGTCTTCTTTGAACCAAAGCAAAAGCCGTATCATGCTTCCTTTCACTTAGTATATATGGGTTACTCGATCCCTGGGAGTTCTAGATCTCAAGCAAATCATTAGACAAGGAAAAAGCTAAACGGTAAATCAACCAGACACTCAAACATACTCGCCCAGGATAGAACATCAGCCTCGTCCGCGATCAGAGATCACTTGTAGTACGCAATCACCAACTACGAAGACAAACATTTTACTTTCACAATATGTCGAACTCCTACGTCCGGCCTCCTCATTATCAGAGACATCATCAGTCCATGCTCTTGAATCTTTGCAGCATACATCCGCACTTCGAGACTGATAATTTCGACCGCGAGTACCAAAAAGAACTTGCTTCGGTCATTTCTCAATATCCGTTGACTGGTTTGGACTTCTGTTATTACTGGACTGAGAAAGTCTTGTGGATAAATTTCAATTATCTAGTGCATATGGCGAATTCCGGGTAAATATGGTGGTCCCGAGTATATTGTTCAACAACAAGTTGGTCAATTGCCTCCCACTCTAGAATCTGCTGAACAACCAGCACCTGCGATAACTGCAGATTTCTTTGATAACATCTTGGAGAGTTTGGGGACTCTAAGCCGCCCTGCGAAACCTGTCCAACCAATCAGAGTTCAGGCTCCAGAGACGTCCAAAGCTGCCTACGAAAACACCTGTCTCTAAACCTGTTCAACAACGAGTGGATCTCATGGCAATGCCATCTCGAAAAGTAGCTCAAAATCATTTTGAGGGATATCTCAAGCCTCCAAATACACCAGCTTCGGTCCCAATACAAGTACCCCGAGATTACCCCAAAGACTTCGTCTATCCGAAAGCCCATACACTTCAGCACAAGACTCTCAAGGCTTTGCCAACGCCCCAGTCAATCCCGAAGGCCTAGGCATTTCGCAAACTTCAAATGAATTTTCGGTATCAACCACCGGACCCGACCCTCCGACTTCAACACCTTCATCGCTCTTAGCTGCTCGGCTTGCTTTACCTGGTTTCCCCAACCCCAACCCCAACCCCATCGCAACATCCAACTCCGCACCTGCCGCACCATCCTCATCGTTGGCACCTCTTCCTCCTCTCCTACTCCCCGATTCAGTTGTCAAAGATCCCGACACTGGTGAACTAATCACAATAAAGATGTTTGAGCGTCGTTGTCTTGGTCGTGGTGCTGAAATTGCCATCAGACAGGCACAAGCTGCCGTCAAGGCGACACCAAATCGTATGACCAAGCCTGTAGCCCGTTTATTGTTAGAGGATTCACTCACCACGGCATTGGCCAATATTATCCAAGAACAAAGCCAGCAGTTGAAGTGCAAAATTCGGACCTAAGCGCGCCTCAATTTGCCTCTTTATTGCTGTTGTTCGTCCAGGCAGAATTGAAATTGTGTCCGACCAGGTATCTTTCCGGACAGGGGCCTGTCCGATAGGCAGTGCGGGCTGTAACCGGAAGATAATGACTACAGTTTTCGCAAACAACAAAAAGAAATGCCTATCGAACTCTTGAACTCAATTGAAGCCGCTCTACTTTCGATTGAGCTAGATTAACAAGATATTCGGATTGTTCTAGGCGCCCATCAAACACTCTTCACTTAGCCAGGGTATTCAAGGCGAGGGCATTATGACTTCTCTGAGTTCTTGTCTCTTTCTTCTACTGATTGGATCTTATTCTGCTTGTAATGGGCCACGAATATTTGAATTATCTGCCAGAAGGCAGATAATTCACGGTTTGTAATGCTTCTCCGATGAAGTATTGCACTCTATCTAAAAAGAACAGACCCGATAAGTACATGGGAGGCATAAGGGACTCTTCAAGTTAGATTTTTCATAACAGCTCACTTAATTATTGAATAACTTTTGCTTACATAGATTCTTCTAAAAGATTAGTATGAGATGCGCATGATACATCCAGAAAGTGACAGAATCTGCACAGAATGAAATACCCTGTGAACGCAGAAATCAATCTCATAAGTGAAGCTGGTAGCAAAACTAAGTATAATTACATGTCTCCGGTCTATTCAAGATGTCCCTTTATATCTCGCAAAAGAAGTTCAGAAAGTAATAGTCGGCTCTTATAAATGGCTGACTAGTTTCTAGTCGGGGAAAGCGAATTGTCCCTATAAGATTTTGGATATTAAATGTATTAAAATAATCAAATTTTGCTATAATCTAATTTGTTTTTAATACACAATCTTCCAATTTTGAAAAGTATTTCAAAAATTTATATAACTATATTCAATAGTATCAAATTTATTTAAATTGTTTCAAAATTCATAATATTATTTATAAAAAATTCTAATGTTCTTCAACAAAAACTATAAATCTATTGCCAAAATCTCACAAGGACCATTCGCTTTCTAGGGATATTTGCTTTCTCCGACTAGGAATTAGTCGGCCGCTTGAAGAGCCGACTATTACTTCAAGCTCCAAGAATCCAAACTTACAAAGAAATGGGTGCAGAGGAACATGCAGAGATAATGAGACGAGTAAATGCATGGCGCCAGGAAGAGGGAAAATAAACGGGCAATATGGGAGTGGCAACTGAAGGAGCACAACTTTTGTAGCATGTATCAATGGATGACCGAATGGAGGAAACCGAAGAAAGTCAAGAACAATGCACATTGATATCATTAAAGATTAGGGGTTAGGTTCTAGCTATGTGAATGTAGAATTGTTATCAATGAACGAGCAATGGAGAGCCTTCTAGCTATTACACAGCCTAGCAAAAGATTCCCTGACAGAACGTGAATGAATCAACCTTGGGACATTGAGAAATAGAAAGATTGAGAAACTAACTAGCGTCTGAAATATTTTAATAGAGAGAAACCCTATCAATGTTCATATCAAGCATAAGCATAACGACCTCACGTACAATAACCAAGTGAAAACTGTGTGAATACAAATGCATACTTATCAGTACTCTTCACCGTCTCTCATAAAGCTATCAAATATTTTCAATGACAGCATATACAAAGAAACCCCATCGATTTCAAATCCCAACACCAAAAAGTCCGTTTTCCTCAACCCCCATCCCAACAACTAAAGACATCTAACCCCGATCTACGACCTTCTCACATAAACCAACCTCGATCGGCACATCCAACCTTGACATCTAACTTCAATTCACTACATCATCACTTTCCCTCTCAAGACTGATACTCCAAATCCAAGAACAAAGAGACAACCATCGAGTGCCACCTAATCCATTCAAATCTGTTGGTCCGCTTAATAATCTTGTAGAAAACAGTAGTTCCGGCGCGGATTTAAATCTCGGAAATTAGGTTTCGAGCGAACTGCGCTTTTTTTATATGAGGTGAGAGATGAGACGAGAGGTGAATGTGACCACTTAGCGGTCTGGATGTGATTCACAGGCCGTTTCGAGTTCCTATCTACGGATCTTTTCCACGGCACAACCCGTTTCTCATTTCAACAAATTTGGAGAAAGAATATGGTGTATTATTGCACGGTTGTCTAGCTTGATCGAAGATCTTTGGATTCCATTATTTAATTGTTAAGTTGCACGCGACTTTGACAGTTTGTTTCCCTGTGATTTCTTCTACAAAAGTCAAAGGTGTCAACAACGATACGTCGATACCTCGATATTAAAAACTCCATCAAGGTACCAAGCATTTCATTCAGTATTGCTCAACATGTCGCACCAAGCCATGCAAGATCCACCAATTCCCTTGGAAACTGGATCAGACAGTCTGATGCCGCAATCACTCTTGTCTCTCCCATCCCTCAAGCAGTACATGGTCCACCGATTGGTTCATGAAGGAACAACCATCATCACCATGGAAGCCGCATTGAGCCACTACGTTAGCCATTACCACACCATGGCCAATGTATGTGCTGGAGCAAGTGAAGGCACCATTACTTTCATGGCAGATAAGTTGTTCTGGCGTTCTCACTGCATGTTAAACATTGCCTCTTTCTACTTTGAGAGATTTTCTGATTGAAATATAGGGCCCCATGAGCAGTTTCCCCGCCAATATTGTTACTTGACTCCGGGGGATAAGGAGGTCATTCATCGGGCATATAACAATATTCCTGTCGAACGCTTGAATGCCATGAATGATCAATTGTATCGTGCCAACAGCAGAGATGTCTTCAGCTCTATGTCCAGGAGGCTCAGGCGTGGAGCAAGAGTATTGAGGACAAGATTGCGCAAATGGAACAGAAAGGAGAGAAGATTGAGGACCATGAGGCAGATGATCACCGAGATGAAGGTTTACAGCAATTGGCGCAACTTGAGGTTTGAGGGAAGAAGCAAAAAGATGACTCTCGGATTACTGAGAAACTTTGGGAAAACCTGATTGTAATTTCTACGCATAATAGTACATCGCGTTTAGAGTTACACAGGAGTTTCTAAAAGGTGGTAATGAGAAACCTATCAGGCCTTCTAATGCACTTGAGGCGTTGCAATTGACTCGTGAGTCGATTAGCTAGCTTTCTTAGAACAATAAAAACATCATCACCCTAATCTATACTTTTGCTTTTTTTTTAAGGTGACCGATTCTGAATATTTACCAACTGAAAATTCACTATCGAATTTTCTCCACCTCAACCTATTTTCTTGATAAGATTAGGTAGGTGTCCTTCAAATTTTTATCACCTCAACTACAAACACCATTGCAAAAATAAAACACAATAACGAAGCTCGCGGTGATATCAGCTTAACTACTCTTTCATTATGGCTTATATATCATGCGGTAAATCTATGATAGCAAAGCTCGTTGATGATCAGAGTTTCGACCCCGCATACACAAAAAAAGCAAGCCACGCGACTTTATCAAATTTGTTATAGAAAATATAGCAGAGGATATGTTCGAGTTGGCACAGAAAAGATGCTTCACATGGCAGATAAATGCTTTTGGCATCATTCTGTAAGAAGTGTGGGATCAATGAGTAGAATGAGTTCTGACAATGACTTCAGGGCCAGATGAGGAATTCCCAAGAGAAAATGCGCACGTTTTGCTGGGTAAAGAGGAAGGAAAAGCTACAAAGAAAAGTGAAAGCATCGCTGGAAAAAATAAAGCAGGGCAATAAGCAAGATGACACTCAGAGTCGACAGAATGAAGCAGCAGAATTGGCACCGCAGCACAGATCTCCACACAAATAAATCAGTAAAGACTACCTATTTCAGAGAAGTTTCGCGACCAAAGCAGAATGCTGTAACTAGAGGCCGCACCAAGGCTTTGGGTGATACCAAAGGTATAGATTTGGGCATCCTTACAATACAACGAAGAAAAAGAATACCGGAGAAAATTGAAACAAAATCTCTCGAGCAAGAAGCAGGCGGCGGAAGCATCAGCACGAGCCTTGTCCAAACGCGATTCAAAAGCATCTGTACTGGGTGAAAACTCTCACATATGCAAGGGGGCTTAGAGAAAGCGCAGTCGGCGTCCTTGAGCACGCAACTGCAGAGTCGGTCATCAGAAGCGGCTGCAACAACAGCACACAAAGACTCAAACCCATTGGGAGAATCAAAAACCATTGGAAGACTCACGACATTCGTCTGAAATAGCACAAGATCTTCAACTGAACCATTCCTCAAACCGGCTTCAGACACTTGATGAAATGATTGACGAAGAAAAAGAGATTGCAAGTCAACTTAGATGTGTGCGTGCATCTTGTCCCAGTCCTGAGGAGAATAGAAAGATATGTCAGGGAGGGGATGACCTGGGGGCGGCTGACGGTGGAATTAAAGAAGCAGCAAATGACAGCCGTTTCTGCGTGATAATTTAAGGCCGACTTATGCTATGAAGCAATGTCCTTGTTGGCTACCAGGAACCGTCCAGGGTTATTACACGTATGCGTTTGTTTGTTTGTTGGTTGGTTGGTTGGCTGGCTCCATTTCGAGGAGAGATTTGATCATTATGAAGCTTATCAGGGGTTCTGAGAGGTGGCGTGATGCTTCATTTGTTCCCTGATACTTGAGTTTCTCCATAGCCTACTTCGGTATGTCTCTTGCGGCGGAGTTGGAGTTGGGAGCAGCGAACTGCATGCTGGGTGCATCGTGGCAGCATTATGAGCTGTTTGAGACGTACTTCCATGTCGAAAGCAAGGGAAGAGTTCTTGCACAGAACTAGATTGCATAGTACTTGCTTTATTGGATCTGAGGGCTTCAACAACTACTTGTTTTCATTTCCGTCGCGTTACTGAATCTGTGGTGAAGTGAATTTTAAGTGAGGTCTAGGGTGCACGGAGCTAAAATATAAACAAAATTTTACTTATATTACTACCCCCACTTTATTTCGACCCCTCTTTACCTCTTTTTGCAATGTTTACCACACTTTGACAATGAAATGTTTGGGAGAGCAGGATGTTTCCTGTCATTCAATATGACTTGATACTTGTAGGTGGATTCTGTTACAGCTTAATAAGTGTATGAGCAGTTTAGTAGACATTATTACACATGCTGTCGGGCAAGAATCTATTCCGACAAGTATGTTTGTGCCTCGAAAGTGGCGATATTAAGAAGGGGCCTTGTCAATCACGTACAACGATCTCATATAACACAGAAGTAGGTAGAGTACGATATTGGCGCTTTATACAGCTCTTGCTGACTAGATAATCATGCGGGATCACTGTAAGGCACCCAGAAAGCATGTAGAGAGACGATGAAAGCATTTGTTTGACAATGCCATGCGCGATATGATTCTCATTCGAATACGACGCAACCTTCTTGATAGCGGCGAAAAGCTGTCTGGTCTTAGTCGAAATCGTTCTCAGATCCTCCCCCAAGTTTAGTTTACTCCTCCTCCATCAATTTCTTCTGTAGCACCTCCATACAATCCTGCTCCGAATCTGCCAACGCCTGAAAGCTCACTGTATGAACCATCTTTTCGCAACACCACGTCTCCAACGTCCTCTTCTGGAAATCGAGGAAGTACGAATATTCCGCAAAAGGATTGTTGAAATCAACTTCCACTTCCACCAAATGCTTCAGATCACCATTCAAGATTGGCAATAGCGCATCTCCTCCTTGTACACCTCGAAGAATCCAATACCACTGTGTCTCTCGTTCATCGCCGCTTGGCTTGGAGTAGCCCAGCTTGCGATATTTCTGTTGAAGATCCTTCGGAGCTGCGACAGTTTCCTTGACCCACTACGTATCTGTTAGCTGAATTCATGAAAAGATGTCAAACAATACACATACTTCGATCTCTTGAAGACGTTGATGCATTATCGGAGAATTCTCGGGCTTCAATCCCGAGAATGAATCTAACTATGTCGCGCCAAGACCTTCAGGTGTAAGAATCGAAATGGCAATACACTGCTCGACGTTGTGTTCCTAGAACAAAGACAATAATTCCACTGGTGCCCATGTTGATGAAATTGTTTTAGAAGATAACGATGTTGTGAAAGTGTAAGATTTTTAAGTAGACAACGAAGAAGTTCAGGCGCAGAACGAAAAATTGCGTTGCGAGTCAATCATGAGATTTTGGGGGTGTTTGTATTCATTCATACTCGGTGATTGTGTTTGTCAAAATAACAAGGAATCTTGTTGCCTATGTACATATATTCATCACATTTTGATGCAGGCCGCCATATATCAGTACGGCCAATCAAATCATACCATCAGTCCACCGTACAAATTATTTTACCTTTTGACAGATTGGTTTCCATAAATGTATGAGCCTCCCTAATATCTTTCCAGGAAAAAATTCTCTCGATAGGAACCTTGAATGTACCATCTGCAAATTTCTGTAAGGCAGTTTCGACCAAAACATCTCTTAATTTCCCCTGGTAATCTAAAGGTCTGCTTCTCAGTCTACTCCATCCCATCGCAAACGCTATTTCGAGGAGAGTGATATCTAGGCTATCGAGTTTGGATCCACTAAGACTGGCTAGTTGGACAATCCTTCCGTCCATAGCTGCGGCTTCAAAGTTTCCCTGGGCGTAATTCTTTCCAATGAAGTCAACAATTACATCTGCTCCACGTTCGTCAGTTGCATCTAGAACTCCTTGGATCCAGTTTTCGGTATTGTAGTTGAAGCCGTGTGTTGCGCCCAAACTCTTGCAGAAAGCGATCTTCTCATCGGAACCAGCAGTGACGAGTATCTTGTTGGCTCCAGCCGCTTTGGATAGTTGGATTCCGGCAATGGACACTGCGGATGCTCCGGCATGCCATAGAACATTATCTCCTGGTCTAAAACATCAACGAGATGTAGGGCTTGGGTTGCTGTTATCCTATGTCCTGTGGTCCTGTCAATACCATATACATAGAGACTTCATACATAACCTCTGGGATCCCAGCAGCTACAGACCAAGATATATGAGCCGGTTTGTGAATGAGCATTTTTGTAGATGATGCGATGTACTCAGCATACGCCCCTGTCAACCATCAATCAGCACCCCTTGGACTACATGAAGAAGGTATCATACCACCATACGCAAGTCCAAAAACCTCATCACCAACTTTAAAATCCCCAATATTCCCATCCCCAAGTTTCTCAATTACCCCGGAAAACTCCACACCCAGTATTCTCCCCGCTTGTGGAGGTACAGTATACTTTCCCTCCCGCTGCATCAAATCCATTCGATTAAGACCAAAGGAATGGATCTTTACTAGGGCTTGAGAAGTGGAAGGCTCGGGTTTGGGAATTTCATTGTTTCAAAAAGAGACGGAGATTGGTCCGCGTCCATTTTCGATAGTCTGTATTTCGTCAGTTATATCATTCCATATTATAGCTAATTATTCAATTTTTTTATCTCCTTACCGATTTGCACGCATCATTTCTCCCGCCATTTGCTTTGCTTAAAATATCTCGTAGTAACCACCCGTTCCTTGAGAGAGCAATGAATCTTATATACAAAATTTAGCTATGCAAGTCAGCATAGATTATTGACACGGAGCCGGAAATGACGCTACTGGTAAAAAACAAAAATGCCTCCTCATTGGATAATTGCTTCGTTTAAAATGCAACGCAGATAGTTAGCCGATAGCTAGACGCATGTGGCTTGTTCATGATTTGTAGCTGTCGAGTGGACATCAATTTACCACAGGTCTCACCCAATCATGATGATTATCAGGGTGCCAATGAAAGTAGGCTGAAATGTTGGCCTATGAGTGCCGGAAACAGTTGTAAGGAAATATACTTATTGAACAATCACCAGTAAAATTTCCCCAAAAACTATAACTTAAACCCTCAAATTGTGCTGTTTCTAGATGACATTCGAAAAGAAATTGGAATCCTTAAGATCCGTCAAATGAAAAGCAATGCTCCAATCAATTCGACCCTTCCTTCGTCTCGTCTACCGGAAACTAGATGCAACGAACCAGTGAATCTACCACCCCCAAAAATGCCTAAATATCAACCTTTGAATGCTTGAAACAACCTGCAACAATGAACAGTGCTCTCAGGCCAATAGCAAAAGCTGTTGATCCACCTTTAAATGCTGTCTACCTTCAATGCAATTCACGTGACATATGCGACCGAGAATCGACATAAAACTCCCCCCCCCCCCAAAATACAAATTCAATGCCATCATATCAATTCCATATCAATTCGTACCCATTTATCGTATCTGAGCTGCAGTGGTTTCATATATATTTCTCTCAGCCCAGAGTGCCATATTCAGCTCGTGGTGTGAATGGTGTGCTCAACTTGGGCGTAAAAATTCCATTTCCGCTTAATCCCTGAGTTTTCCAAGCTTCCAACATTACTTCGATCTCTCTTCTAGCGTCTTCAACAAGGTCATCCATATTGATGTCAATCTTGTCTGTTCCGAAGGGATCTTCGTGCCATTGGGCGATCCCTTCAATTCCGTAGAGGGCGAAAGCTACGAAAGCGACGAGGGGGACTGTCCACCAGCCAATCTCTGCAGCCATAGCAAAAGGCAATATGGCTACGAAAAGTGCTAAGACCTGTTTACTGTGTATTAGGTGCGCGACGGGTGTAGGTGCAAGTCTAATTACTTCCATGTTGCCGTAGGCTGCGACGAGTTCGTTGAGTTTGGCGAGCATCTGAGCCGAGGCACTATTGTTGAACCAATTCCTGTGTGTGAAGTATCCGTTAGAAGTCTCAAGACAAGAGGATGAATAGAAGAGACTTAATTGTCTTAAAAAAAGAGGATGAATGGCAGACTTACAAGTTACAACCAGTGTTGACGAATTTCTCAATGTAAGTACTTAACTGAAGTGTAAGACCTAATCCCATATGTTCATGACCTTTAAATCCTTGTGGCAGCAGGTCCTTATATTCCGCTGGCCAGGAAAAATCACCTTCTTCAGTCATCATAGTTCCTGAACTAAGCTCCACGCCCCAATCTGCTCTCAAGTGGTTTTTGACGGTATATAACATCGCTATCATAATCTTGACTGTTTCGATTGTCTTTGCCTCAAGTGCTTTGGAAATTGGCTGCTGAGCTACATCTGCCGCTCCATCAAAGTCCTTATATGCTGAGCTATCTGTACTGCCTTCATTCTGTGTGAATGATGAATCATATTGATGATCGGGAGGAGCGGGGGCAGGAACAAGTACAAGTAGGTGCCGCGTGAGACATCGGATTGAAGTTGTGAGGGTCGCAAAGTGAGAACGGCCCGACCAGAACCTGGCATAAGCTGTTTGATTCCGAAATACGAGTTCTAGACCGACGACAATGGATAGTGAAGGAACCTTGGCTCAGTTAGAAACTATTTTCTCAATTTTATCTGTAAGACCATTATTCAAGTCTCTATATATATGACTAGATATGCGGCTCCGTCTAGCCGTGGCACAGCTTTCAGGATCAATCTAGATATCGAGGGTATTCTTGATCTGTCAAAGTCTTAAGCATGCCAGTTGAGGGTTCTCATACACGTGACTTGAACACGCTATAAGCGAGGATCACGTGTATGATCATCTTGATGTGCATGGACGATCAGCTTCAACGCATGCCCAGTTTCAGATTGTTCAAATTGAAATGGTAGATTTTGAACTACTCAATAAACAACTGACAATTGATCTTTCATACACTTGAGAAGATATAGTATTGATTTTGGTATGCCACGATAAGAGGAGCCGTGCAGTAGAGCCCCAGACGATCAATTGTAATGTCCAGTTCTTGGAGAGTACTTACGATACTGGTTGGAAGCGTAACATCGCTGCTGATGTGTTGGTTCAAGTATACGACAATAGCAGAAATAGCAGAAAGAATGGCAACAGGCCAGACAACCTCTGCGTAGATATTGATTAGTCTCGTTTTCTCTTCTTCAAAGTAGGTGACTGATATATATCTTACCACTATGGATACTTCCTTTCCAGAACCTAAGTACTAAAGGCCATCTATTTTGCTATTGTTAGCTAGATATCTGCATGAGTATATATATCCTCAAATATTGAGTTTACCTTCTCTCCTTCCTCCTTGATGAACTTGCCAGCAACCAGGACATTTGACGGTTTCGGCTTGAATCTCCAGCAAAGTTTAGGAATAGAGGTGTTCTCGACATTCTTGCAGAATCAACTTTGCAAATCAAGAAGAATATAGAGAGATTGTTGCGATCCTAAGATGAGGGTTGAAAAATTCACTTGTGGTGGTACAATAATAGGCTTTGCTGAAACAATTGCAGATCAGGAGGAATCCGGAGAAATTGCAGTGATCTTAAGACGAGGGCTGGAGATTCACTTATGGTGTTGTAATGATAGGCGTTGGCGAAATATTTACAGATCAAGAAGAAGCCAGAGAAGTAGATGTAACTCTGGGATGAGGAGCAGACATTCACTTGGAGCGGTAAGATTGTTGCTCAAGCGCATAACATGGGGAAGTGGACCTTGCTTAAGCCGCCATGACATTCAACTCCAACACAGGGGTATGCACTACGTAAGCGAAACAAGTTGCCGGACTTGAAGATCTTCGGGCAGTCTTTACGACACAAATATCATGCATGAATTCCGTTTTGTATAAAATCTTGAACTAACAAGCTAGCGTCTTGTTTGGCTCTTTTTTCTACGATCATCTATGGTTGATTTATGCGCCAAATTAAAGAATGAGTTTGGAGTACTCAATTCCGATAGGCTGTCTCCATGTGCCCGAAAAAAGCGGTTTCCGTTATCATGAATCAGCTAGGATTACACTTGGGCCAAACAGCCTCCACCAACAGGACGAATACGAAAAATATATTTTCTCTTCGATATCCGATATCAATTCAGACAATCACTCTTTTGATATAAGAATCAGACTTATGTCTCTATGAGCTTTTATATCATTTGTGTTTTCAAGATTCATCGACAAAATGGAGGGGAGATGAAATATAAATGTTTTCAAAGTATGAATCTATTTGAGAGATTGGGCATAGTGGCGGACGAGGCGGCTAAATCGATTATATCTGCAAAGTAAGAAAAAACTTTGACTTGGACCTTAGCTATTGCATGTGACATTACATTGAACTGGATTTGTAATTGTACTCGAGTATTTACTGAAGTAATTATTTGTTCATGAGGTGAGAAGAACTAGAAGAACTAGAAATACACAGGTTTTGTGGCCGTAAACCTTCTGAATCATGCGCCCACCCCAAAAGCCACTCACTGATGTACAATGCTATCATATCTTCCCCAATCCAGATTCATTTTCTTTATCTCGTATCATAGCAGATTCGTTCATTACAATGCTGGCTTTCCTTGTTGTGCGCCAAGTTGAGCATTCAACTGTCCTGCTGTATCTGTGCCCGAGGAAAGTAACTATTGTAAAAAATATCAGTAAGAAATATTCAAATTGAAATGCGATTGGATTGGATGGGATTGAGCAACGCACCTCTCCACCCATCTCTCTCATCTTCATTTCCTTCTCCATTTCAACTACTTGCTGCTCCTCCACAAATGCCAATGCCCATGGAACTCCCAATAACAAAGCACTTGTGCTCACAACGAATAAAGTCTTGCCTCCAAACATTAAACCCGATTTGATCCAACTTGTGGTTGCATCCACCTTGTTGGAGATAAATGATCGAGTGGATGCTGGTACTATATCTTTCAGGGCACTTATACGGTCTGCGAAAGTCTCCTCATCTGCGACATTGTCCTCTTCATCAGAGGAAATCTCGGAATCTTTGTTGAGCGTTCATTAGCTAACTGTAAATGAGATCGCAGTCAATTGTAAGACAAACCAGTATCAGTGTAGTAATCATCCTCAGATGGTCCAGCTTGCTTTTGCTCAAAGGACTCATCCTCAACTTCTGTCAATTCAACCATCTTTGCGAAGTTTTAAATTTTATGTTCGTAAGAAAAGGGAGGATGGGCTGTATGGGTTGTGGTATGCCAGTATGGATTCAATTTCCTGATGGTGATTTATATCTTTACAGTAGCTATGCGGGCCTGATGATTTTTTGGTGCCCGCCACGCTAAGAGATCACGCTAGTGGCAAGGCTGGTCAACGAACGACGTCAGGCTGCCGAAACTTCAAATCCCCTGGCCTCCATGTCCAAAACAGCCATCAATTATCATTTTCATTCTTTGTACTTTCTTTGAGTATCGATTTATGGGCGTTTCAGTTGGGTTTAATTATGGGCACTGATCTATTATTTCCTTTGTCTTCTTTATGCGAAACTCCTCACTGCAAAATCTCGAAGTCCTACATAAATGCGACGCACATTCTGAGGCCATTTACAAGAATCATTAAAGGACTTAGCCCCAACAATTTGCAACCATCATGACCGACCTATATCCAATTGTCATCCCTCCATTTGAACATAGATTCAAAGCTGTCACCTATACATGCAGCGGAGAAGGTCTACGCAAAGATGGTCATTCTTACGATCCCAACGTCGAAAAATTCATACCTCCCAAAGCTCAAAAGTTAGGCAATAATATTGGAGCGAGACCAGCAGGTTGGTGGAAAGCCCAATGCGCATTCAGAGGATTGAAACAAACTGGATCCATCGCCGAATTACAGTCGAGGTTGGGAGGAGCGAAGAAAGAAATGGATCCAGAGCTGAAGGCCGCAGAGTCCCAATTGATCAAGGATTTCATGAAGCAAAACAAACTTGCGAGAGATGGCGATTGGGATAAATTAAAGACTGCCGAGGAAAAGGCTGATGCTAATCCACAAAGATACCTCAACGAAGCGTTTCCGAAAAGTGCCACGGGAGAACTAGCAAAGCCGGATATTATCATTGTTAAGAATGAACATAAAGCTGCCTTAGCTGAAGCTGCGCATAAGATGGGATTGGAATCTTTGTTAGTGGATGCCCCTCGGGTGGGTAACAAACGGCCTTCTCCAGATCAGTGGGTAGTAGTGGGGAGAATTACAGATGCTGTATTGAATCAGAAGCGTGAGCTTGAACGGGCAGCGACTCGGCCCAAGGAAAACATACCAAAGGTAAGAGAAAACAAGCGATAAAGACTATCTCTTTTCAAATGGTAGTACCATACAGATGATCGGAATTTGTAAAGTTTACAGTGTCATCCATTCTTTGAGTTGAGGTTGGGACGGTTATCAACCCCTTATTCTCCTTCAGAGGTGCTTCTTCCAATCATCGAAAATAGTTCGAACATTCATAATGCCTTGCCGGAGCAAAAGAGGTCCAAAGGTGTTCTTATAAGTATCATTTGGTTCTCATTTGCATCATCGTGAAATTGGAAAGAACTTCAGCTTGACTGGAATGGCTTGGCTTTTTTTGTGTCCATGTTTTCAATCCTCCTGCGTAAAATTAGCCCTATGTATGGTATATTTAACTTCTGCTATGTCATACTGAAGTTGAAATGTACTTCATATTATATCAACTCATTGTAATAATAAGAGCTAAGTTGTTTCTTCTCAGAAAACCCCTGGAGATCGACCAAAACAAACAGCAAGGAAATCTGTACCCAGTTCAGGAACGCACGACAATGCGTTTGATGAAATTGGGACTCAGCAAGCACGCCCAATACTACCACTACCACGGAGAAAACAGGGAGCTAGGAAAATTGCTCCAAGCGCTGCCACTCATGATAATTTGTTCTCCGATAGTGATTCTCATGGTCCCAACCTTCCGGGACCAGCTCTTCGAGGCCCCAAAAAACAGACGGCTGTAAAGTCTACCAGTAGTACTAGCACTGATTCAGACATATTTTTTGATAGTAATACTGAGAATCCAGAAAGTCCGGGGCCAGTTTCTCCAGGCCCCAAAAAACAGACGGCTGTAAAGTCTACAAGAAGTACTAACACTCATCCAGACCTGTTCGTGGATGATGGTGAGGATGAAGTCGCTCACAGACAGCCAGCCGCGAAAAGATTACGGACATCGGCCAGCGGCGCGCGAGCCAATTCAAGCGCAGCTGAGTCGGAAGATCTATGGGATGTTCGAGGTTCTTATGTGGTCGAGTGCCCAGATATTGAGGAAGAATGGGGAGAGAAAGACTCGGACCTTACTCTTGACATTTACGTGGAAAAGAAAAATGGAAGACATCAGATTTTTGCAATGTTCAATTTTATAGTTGTCGAGGTATGATTTTATTATAGACTCGTGCCTGGTGTTCAATAGCTAACTTTGCAATTAGGGCATCATGCGATTTGAAAGACCAACTGGTGTGCCAAGTCCGAAGAATGCTGATAAAAAGAGAAAACGAGAAAGCACTTCTTCCATAGATGAGGATGGAGATGTTATGATGAGTGACGTTGCTCAAAATGTTGCGAGTAATAGTAAGCACAAAGAAAGTGCCTTTTTTCTTGGAGTCAACGATAAGCCCACAGCCCGGTGCCCTACATGGCCATATCGCTGGAGAGGCGAGGAGACTGGCGAAGGAGAAATTCAAGTTGGCTCTGATAAAAGGTTGGAGAGTATCACCTTTGACGACAAGAACAAGTCGTTATCAGGCACGTTCACGTGTGGTTTCGCAGGGAAATGCAAGTTCACGGGTTTGAAGGTAAATAACCGTCCGCATGATTCACGAATTGATCCAGAGAGTCAATGGGAGAGCCGCAGCGAGGCTGCTTATGAGGAGACACTGCAGACAAGGTGGAAATGATGGTGATTATTAACAAAAGCTCTTTGCAATTCTTCTTTGTACCACATAACTACCGTGGTCGATACATCATGATTTCGCAGGTTGTAAGATTAAATGCACATAAATACAAATTGAAGGATATGATATTTCAACAACATTCCAAAAAGAATCGTGATTCGGAATATACTCGTACAATAAGACCTGAAGTCATATCTGAAAATCGAAGCACTTCGTACATGATTTGACATCGTCCGGAATCCAGGTTTTTGTTCTTAGCACGGCCCTTGCAATAAAAAAAGACCCGTCTGAGTGCCGAGTAGTCGAGATAATTATTAATAAGTGACAGATAGAGAGAAGTGGATCTAGTGAGAAATGAAACAATTACCCAAGATGTCGATCTTCAACTAAATTGTCATCTCGTGTAAATAACGTGGGTTGTGAACTTGTGGTGAATCTTAGATGCACTAGGGTTTGATAGGGTGAGGGTTTGGATGCATGATTCCGCAGAATGTCGATACCTGCTAGATAGGTTGAAGATGGAAAAGAAAATGTGTCTACGATATCAACGACCTACATGTACACACATATTCGTATCGAACCGAGATGGCTTGGAAGATATGCAAGTAGGGTAGTGAGGAAGAAGTCAGCTACCAATTAAGTCGATGTAGACGGCTTGTACTTGTCGCTCCTCTGTACAGAATCGTCAAGCAAGGACAATGAGATTCAGTTATTGGTCAATCTGGTTCATCTGTGCACCTTCGGACGAACACTTGTTACAGAACACGAAGCGATACAGATTACATTTTCGAATCGGCATGAATAATCCCCAGAGAGATACCGGGTAGATACCTGTCTGTAGGTAGGAGGTACGTATCTAAAAGGCGGGGGAGGCCACCCTTCCGTTCAGCTGTAATAAAAGGGGGTATATTTTGATATGTGTGAATGAATACATTTGAAGCGACCATGTCGATATCTAATCAACGACGTCAAACATACTTGATATACTACTAGATATATATATATACCACCAAGTATGTCTCCTTTTAAATATTGAGGCGTATATAAAAAGCATGATATATGGCTAGGTAGCTGCTACCTCACCAATGAATCTTTCCTCAAAAAGGAATCGTCAAAGATCTTCTCTAGAAGCATCTTAATCATTTATTAGCGCAGACCCCCTCGACAAACACCTTACTTACTTGGGCACCTTTCCTCTCCAATCTTCTAACTTTTGGAACATTTCTTAATAATTTCCGATAATCCATCTTGCTTCTTCAGTCAGTCCCTTAACACACACCTTGCTTCTGTACTGTGACGAGTCACGACCGGCTTCAATATTTTCTTTTCTTTTCCTTTGCTTTTGTTCTTGCTTTTGACATTTTGGGGATTTGGCTTCTTTTTTGGGAATCTGCCAATTTATTTGGGCCTCCAATCGCACATTTTGCAGATGAAGCGGCATTACATTATATCATGTACAGATACGATTACCCCTGAATCGAATGTTTAAACCGGAAGATTGGTATAATTACCCTGATCACAACAATTTCGACGAGGTTCGCAAGGAAATGTCGTTGAATGGTTTGGATGATGCGAGCGTCAAGGAAGCATACGATGCGGCGGTAGCTGAGCCCGGAGGATGGTATGCTTGTGTTCAACATCTTGTATCTTATTGCTCTGCGTGCGCCGTGATATAGTAGACTGATATTGTATTCATCGTGTAGGTTCCTTCTTAAGTATGCCTCGAGAGACGAAATAGAATTAATGGGTCGTGGCAATGGGGGAATTGTGGAAATAAGAAATAAAATTGGACAATATGAAGAACCATCGCCGTTGTTCGGGTTTCTGCGATACAGGCGACGGAACGTAGTCATCAAATATGTGCCAGATGGATGCTCAAGACTGGTTTCAAGGTGGGTTTCCCTTGTTGTTGATCTCGGTCAAAATATTTCACTTTCGGGAATCTAAATTCTAACAATCTGATAATCCGATAGCTCGCGTCACCGTTCATTTTAATGCTGTCACCGAAAAGTTCGCACCTTATCATACGATATTCGAAATAACCACTGCGAAAGAGCTCCGTGATACAACCCTGTCAGCCGCCTGCTCACTACACACTGCTTCGGATCCGGTTTCAATCTTCGACCAGTTCTTTGCCCGACGACGTTTAATGGGAAATTGCAGAGGACGAGGAGGAGGACATTAGAACAAAAAGACAATCCACAGTTCAGGAGGAGCACCCCCCTACTGCACAAACTATTACCTCAATATCGGGCACCCAGCCAGCAGTTGATCCGACCACCCTGCCGGCCGATCTGCCAAATTCATTTACTTTCTCTTCTATGGTTGCAGAAGGAGACAACAGTCTTGAAACTTCTCCTCCTCCACCACGTTCCAAAGCACCTTTGACCTTCGATCTTGATACCTCTCCGCCTCCTCCAAGGGAGCCGCGTGAACCTGAATTCGGATCATTCTCACCTATTGCAACCACTGACGACACACCTCGGACATCTTCACAGTCCGCACGACCTGATTTGTACAGCCTTACATCTCACGAGTTTACCGGAAGACCTAAAGTCAGACTTGGACCTCGCCCTTCTCTCGATGTTGGCAAAACTACTACATCTGGAGGAGCCCCTAACTGTCGTCCAGTGTCAACACTTCCACAGGGATTGAAAGCATCTACAAAGGGAGGGTCAAAAAAGGGGCGGGCGAGTTTGAACTCGCAGGAGTCTGAAGAGCCACCCAGTATGAGTTTGTCACCACCCTCTATTCCTGAAAATGGACTCTACCCACGTTTTTCCTTCTCGCCCTCATACAAGTGGTGGACGACCAAACACAAGCTTCTGGGGTTTTCGGTTCGAACAACATTGTCAACGAATTCTGCCACCCCCAATGCAAAAGTCCCAACAATTACGCCAGAGAAGGCAAGACTTATGAAGGCTATGGAAATGCGGAAGAGGCAATTGAGTGCTGGTGCGCCTGCGCAAATACCACCCACTTCTCCAAACTCCTCGACGTCTCCAAGAAATCTCGAGATACCCTCTGCCCTGAGCCCTGGCACGCCACAAGGCGCTCCACAGGAGATTCAAGATACCTTGGCTTTGCTAACTGATATGGCCAAAGCAGATCAATCCGCGATTGCCCTCGATACAAGCTTCGCTATGAAAACGGACGACTCAGACGCTACAAGATCCGATTCCTACCCGGTATCACCCGTTGGGCCTTCAGAAAAAGCAGAATCGACAAGAGCGTCTTCTATCTCGGAGTCCACGGATGAAAACGTTCAAAAAGCACTCTCTACGAAAGTAGTGACGAAAGATAATATGGCTGAAGTATTGCCCCCTACTACTTTATTAGAAAGTAATGGGAACGAGCCAGCTGTAACAATATCACTGCAAAGCCCAGAACTAGACGACGAAAGCATGAAACCCGACCAACTTCAAGGCACCGAGGAATTAGCTAGCAGCTCTAGTCATTCTGTCTCTAAAGATACCATACAGGATGATCTCACGGTCGCCACCTCTCCCCTTTCCGAAGAACAAAATACCAAATTTGAAGCGTCTGCAGAACCTTTGCAAACTTCGGCTAGTGAGCCTGTTTTCAATACAATTGACAAGCCTCTGAAGGATAGTCCTTTCGACCCTGGGTACAATTTATCACAGAAGAAGAAAATCCATAACATCGAGCCAATTCGAACTAGTTTCGATAAGAGTGGCCCTAACTCTGAGAATAACTTCTCCTCAGATGACGAACTTATGGATGAGCTGCAGTCTGCAGTTATCCAAGATGCAAAGCCTATGTCGGTGGGCAAATCGCCAATCAGTCCTTTGTTTCCTCAGCCTACGCAAAATGAGACCAAATTTTCACGTACTGTTTCAAGTCCGTTACAATCAGTTAATCCGATTCCTCCACCTCTTACTGCCATGCCTGGTGGTGACCGACCTGTTTCTCGACCTGTTTCGGCATCTGCAAACTTTTTGAACCGCCTAAGCATGCAACCTGCTGCGGCACCCGTTGTTCCTAAGAAGATTAGTGTAGCATCTGGTGTTGCGAACAGGATTAAAGCCTTTGAGAAGTTTCAAAATCTAGCTCCAGACTCTGCTGCAGCACCATCCACATTGGGACCAAATCCATCTGCATCGCCTGCATTTTTTTCTGTTCGAAGAAGTAGTGCACTTGTTCCATCGAGAGCACCTTCTATTGCCGAACGAACAAATTCCTTGAATAAGAATACACCATCTCCCAGTGTATCAAGAGATGGATCACCTGAAGTTGCTAAAGGACGTGAAAGATCAAACTCTGTTCAAAAGAGAGTGGCTATGCTGAAGCCGACTCCTGTTTCTGACCTCAAGTCGACTAGATCTCGACCTGAGACTGTCCAGGTAACCGCTCGCATTGTTAGAGATCCTAATCAACCATTCCCTCAAACACCAGAAGCTGGCAAAGATTCTTCGGATTATAACTCTCCGCCATTGACAGAATCCCCATTGATCATAGATCATCAGAAGGCGGTTTCTAGTCCTTCAAAAGAGAAAGAAACCGTACCCGAAAGGCGTTTATCAACGTCATCTAAAACTACCACCACTACTAATAACGAGAGACGATCATCTATCGCAATGGTCAAAGACCTCATCAACGATAGTCGTTCTTCATTTTCCGAGCGTCGGCGTTCTTCTACTATCGAGCCTTTCGCATCTTCTCCGACTGTTAAGTCGCCATCGAAATCCTCCTCCACCGATGTTACATCCCCTGTTCGTAAATCTCGTCCATCCTCCATCAGCAGTCGTCGTAGTCTTGATCGTTCCGAATTCTCTCCACCACCAACGGCTAGCTCAGCGTCTTCCGGGAATGACGAGAAGTCGGACAAAAAGTCTGGCCGTGCAAGTCGTATGATGAAGCGCATGTCATCATCATTATCTTCAAGTCGCAAGGCTATTGCACATGCTATCTCACCTACAGTTCGTGAGGAATCAGAGCCCCCTGTTTTCCCTAATTCGGAGGCTTCACTTGTTCCATCTCAA